AAGGACTCATTCTTGCTGGTAGTTAGAATCTTTAACATTATTTGCAAACAAAAGGAAGGTTTCCTATTTAGTTTCCAGAGCTCAGATTCCTTGAATGAGTTTACCAAAAATGTAAATATTGCAGAATATACAGCCTCATGCTACATAATTAAGCTCCATTTCAGGCTGAATGCCGAAATTATGAATGTATCCTAAATAGAAAACTATCTTTAGATTTTTTTTTTACTCCTAAAGCATTTTATTAAAATAAATTTGATAAAAATAAAAAATCAATTTAAATAAAAAAAAATCCTATTTAAATAAAAAAAATTCCCATTTTTTTTACATTTATTTTTTTTTAAAAAAATAATTGATTTTTATCCACCTTTCTTTCACCCCTTATTTTAGAGAAACTCGTGCCATTGAAACCAATCCTTTTGGCAAAGGTGATCTGGGGAATCCAGAATCTGGAGGACTTCATATAGACCATTAGGAGTTTAGTTCTGAAAGAACTGGGGATCACTTGCTCAACTAAACATTCGTGAAACAACGGGCAAGCTTCCCTCCACCTTTTAACAATCAATTTTATTATGACGTTTCCGGGAAGAAAGCAAATTCTTTGACACTGACTCCAAGGAAAATACAATCCCCCTATCCACTTGCTCCCATTTATTTGGAGGAATCAATGCCCCAATTTTCTGTAATCCCATTCCTAAAGATCAGTCTATTTGATAAAACAGCACTGCCATAAATTCACAATGCTAAAAATAATCCAGACTGGCTTTGCGCATGCAACTGTCGGTTCCTCGTTTTTTTATTCATAATAATATTGAAGCCTATTGCACCAATTGCAATTGCTTTTGTTACCCAAAAGCATCATAATCATTTCTGACTTGTCTTGAATTCTGTAGGTGCAGCCAACTGTTTTTTCATTGTTCCGTCTAAACCCTTATGATGGACTGCAACCGTCATAAATATGAGTCAGTTGCCGAGCATCAGAATTTTGACATGACCATGGGGATGCTGCAACGGTTGTAAGGGTGAAAAACAGTCATAACTCACTTTTTTGAACAGTCACTAAATGAACTGTTGTAAATCAAGGACTACCTGTAAAGCATTGATAGATGGTTAGCACTCACCTCTTCAAATGAAGGAGACCTCAGCATCTCTGTGGCTATAGCATAAACCAAACGGATGACATTTGAAAAGTGCATTATGTCAAACTAGAGCAGGGGTGTCAAACTCGATTTCATTGAGGGCCGCATCAGGGTATTGTTTGACCTGGGGTGGGCGTGGCCAGCTCAATGTCACTGCTGTCGGGGGCGCTGGTGGTGGCCTGAGATCTCTGTCAGCAAAAACAGGCTCCCAAGCTCCGTTTTCAGCTGCCACGGCCTCCTGCAACCCTCTGCAGTAAAAATGGAGGTTTGCAGGAGGCCTTGGCAGCCGAAAATGGAGCTCAGGAGCCTGTTTTCGCTGGCAGAAGCATCGCAGGCTGGTCCTTCGCTGTTCCCAGGGCAAGATCTAAATACTCATGGCCTTGAGTTTGCCATCCCTGTAGAGTCTTTCTAGGAAATAATAGGCAAAATGAATTTATCATGTAGAGTTTTCTTTCATATACTATATTACATTTGGCTTACCCTATTTTTTTCGGCTGCCCAAAGCAGAAGCTTATCTGGGCTGTTTGCCAACTTTTTCTCTTGAGCCTGGTACCATTCCTCTGTTTTTTCCTCCTGGTCTTCCTCATCAGAGTCTCCAGACCAAAGACTCTGTGTTCCTCTAGGGATGAGATGCCGGTGGGTTTCCAGTAGCTCAAGCTGGTTAAAGCTGTCAGCAAAGTCTTTTCCCTCCTCATCCGTGTTATTGTTGTCGACTGACGTTATGCTTTCGTTCATTTTGCAGGCTTCAATTTGCAAACAGCAGAAGAGTCCTGCTTCTATTTTCCTAACTCATATCCCCAATGCCTTGCCAACCAAGTTTGGTAACGAAAGCTACTGGCAGCAACATCACCACCATCTTTAAAAGAGAAAAGAAAAAGAAAGAAATGGAATATTATGATTGGGGAAAAGAAGATAAGACATTTGCTGCACCACGAACAGCACCTCAGAAGTGTCAATTTAAAAAGCTATCTTATCGCTTCTTTGCCACTATCAGACAAGAAACGTGAAGGACTTCTTCTAACAGTCTCCTTTATAACCCACCAAAATCATTTTGGAATTAAAAACCCCCAAATGCTTGTTTCTTTCTATTTCTTGAAAGAGTGAGCAGAGCCAGCATTCAAAAGATAGCATTACTTTAATCCTCTCAATTCCACATCCAAAAATGAAGTTGTCCATAATGCTCTAGATCAGGTATTTTCAACCTGTATCCCACAGCCTGGACAGGTAGTTTGCAGCCCCACAAGATGGTAAACCTTTAACAATATGTGATTTATATACATTAACTAAATTATATACTTTATATCTGGCCCAAGACAATTCCTCTTCACTCAATGTGGTGCAGGCAAGGCAAAAGGTTGGATACTCATGATAAGAAATGGTGAAGTTTCCTTTGTATAACCTTTTATTTATGTAATCTAGGCAGTCACCCATTTTATATTTTATTACTCATGGGCAGCTTGCAAGATTAAAACAAAACCTTGCTAAACGAACTGCCAGTGCCCAAGGAAATCATTGACCATGCTCACCACCAGTAGCAGTAGAATTCATCAAATAACCTTGAGCAACAGGAGGAAGAGCCCATGATGCCATAAGAAAGAGAATAACAAAGGAAAAAACAAACTTTCTTCTCTTCCCCTTCTCTCAGTTGACTACTAAGGAATGGAAGGGGTCTTTTGCTTTACCATACAGTGAGATTTGGATGGAGGAGGTAAGAGCAAGATGCTTTCATTTTTTTTTTTTACAAACCAGCAACCAAATACACGCCATTTCAATTTTCAGGGAAGGACAAACAGAAGACCTGTCAAATAAGGGGATTACGTATTAAGCCTCGTCTGATAAAAGACATCAGAGCTCAAAGGAGGAAGAAGGGTGAAGAAAGCATCTCAGAAGTATCTTCTCTAATTCTCTGGAAAATAAAACAAGGAAGAGGAGACCCAAAGATGCTTTTTTCAAAAGGAAGCTGGGCTTTCTTGGTTTTTTGCTTGAAGACGTTTTGCTTCTCATCCGAGAAGTTTCTTCCATTCTGACTGAATGCTGGCAATGGAGGGATTGATATTCCTTGCAGGCCTTCCATTCCCCAGCGTTCAGTCAGAATGGAGGTTGCTTCAAGCGAAAACCAAGAAAGCCCAGTTGCCCTTTGAAAAAAGTACCTGTTGGGACACAATCATGGCCTGGATAACTGAGAATCTCCCTAGACATAAAAGGAAGAGAAGTGCTTTCAGACTTGCAAGATGCTGTTACTGTACACTTACAATAAAGGTGATGCTAGTGCTCATGGTTTTGGTTTTCTGTCTGGACTACCTCAAAGAGCTGGCAGTCCTAGTCAAACAAGCAAGGCTAAAAACACACGCAGATGAAGGCTACAGACATACTGGAGTGTTTTTTAATCTGGGAAGGGATCATGAGAGACATCCAAAACAGGCTCCACTGAAAAATCACAGCTGGCTCCTTCACAAAAAAGGGTCAGAATAGCAAAATATCAGAGTTGGATGGGACCTCGGAGGTTAATAAGGATAGAGAATAAAATAGAGAGAATACGATAGAATAGAAAAAAATAGAAGAGAGAAGAGAAGATTGAGTTGGATGGGATCTTGGAAGCCCAATAGAATAGAATAGAGAATAAAATAGAGAATATGGTAGAATAGAGAAAATAGAAGTGAGAAGAGAAGAGTTGGAGGTCAATAGAACAGAATAGATCAGGGATCTTCAAACTTGACTGCTTAAGACTTGTGGACTTCAACTCCCAGAATCCCTCCTCCAGTCATGTTCACTCAGGAATTCTGGGAGTTGAAGTCCACAAGTCTTAAACTTGCCAAGTTTGAAGACCCTTGGAATAGATAATAGATTAGAGAAAAAAGGGAAGGGAAAGGAAGGGAACAGGTAGGTCTTCTTTTCCAACCCATGGCTCAGGCAGGAAATCCGATAGCATTTTAGACAAATGGTTGTCCAGTATCTTCTTTAAAACCTCCAGTGTTGGAGCATCCATGACTTTTGGAAGCAACTCGTTCCATTGATTAATTATTGTAACTGTCAGGAAATTTCTTAGTTCTAGGTTGCTTCTCTCCTTGATCAGGTTCCACCCATTGCTTCCTGTCCTGCCCTCAGGGGCTTTGGAGAACAGCTTGATTCCCTCTTCTTTGTGGCAACCCTTGAGATATTGGAAGACTGCTCTCCTGTCTCCCCATGTCCTTCTTTTCATTAAACTAGGCATACCCAGTTCCTGCAACCGTTCTTCATATGTTTTAGTCTCTCCCGACCTCTAATCATCGTTGCTTGCTCTTCTCTGCACTTTCTAGACTCTTAACACCTGTTTTACATCGCGACGACCTCTAGTCCAACCCTCTGCTCAAGGCCCCTATGCCATTCCAGATAAAACGGTTGTCCATAAATCTCTTTTTTTAAAAACCCAGCCTCACAACAACCTTCGTGGGGCAGGATCCAAACCACCCGATAATAACCCAAGTAGCCAACCCTACAGCCCTTGGAAGGCGGCTCCATCAAGCCTTATGGGCATCCAAGAAGCAGAGACGACTAGACACGTACCGATATAAATGAATGTTTAACACGGAGTGGTGGGATGAATATACTCCTCGGCGTACACGCTTCGAGACCTCCCTGGCTCCAGGACAAGACGCGTGTTTTGAGAGAGAGAGACTCAAAGGTGTCCTCCGTGTTGCAGGGAGCCGAAGCCTCGACTCCTCCACCGCCCCGACAGGCTTCCCGTCCCCTCCCGTCTAGGACATTTCCGCCCGAGGGTGGGGGGAAAGGAAGAGTCGCCTCTCACCGGAAACGGCTACCGCTGCGGCTGCGCAATGAGAGTCGATTGCAAGGGTAGGGGGAAGGGTTAGGCGCGTGTTTGGGGAGGTGGGTGGGAAAGACGGGAGTTGCGGAGTTCACGCGAGAAGTGGTTGCCGGCGCTCGCGGGAGAGGGCCGGAAAGTATGAAAAAGGGAAAGTTGGGTGAGCTGAGCGGGTGTTGTTGTTGGGGGACAGTTGGTGGGAAGGATAAGGAGTGAGGGCGGCCTCCTCACGCTGCCTCGTTGCTAGGCGACATGAAACGAACTCGGTGCCCAAGAATAGCCGGAATCCCGCGGGGACCGCAGCGAGGAAGCTGCCCTGCAGTGTCTGCAGGAGCTGCCGTTCTGCTTTAATTCGCCCGATCCTTGCGGCGGGCTGGTGGTGTGGCAATAGAGGCGGTTATTCCAGCCCAGGGTGCCAGAAGATGTCTCTCCTCCCGAGAGGGGGTGATTTCATCATGTCTCTTGCTTGGGTTGGATCCCATCCTTGGGTGAGGTTGCCCAGCCGAGCAGGGTTAACTCAGCCCTGAATCAGAATAGAGAGCTGGAAGGGACCTTGAAGGTCATCTAGTCCAGCCCCCTCCTGCACCATTTCAGACAAGTGGTTATAGCATGTCGTAGGAATGCTGCGTTTTCCACTGGCCTGCTTTGAAGCCAGCCTCTCTATTGTTCTTCATCCCCCCCAAAACGAGTTTGTTGGTCACTGCATGGGATATGCAGAACAGCTTAAATCCAGGGGCTAGCTAGTCTGTCTCCTTTACAACAGGGCATCGATTTTGGCTCGTTTAATCCTATAAAACAGTTATATTTCTGCTTTTGGAATTATATATTATACTTTTATAAATTGTATTGAAATTATACTATGTGACACTGTTACAGGAATTATAGGACCAAAGTTTACTTAACAGAATAACAGGGTTGGAAGGGACCTTGGAGGTCTTCTAGTCCAACCTCCGTATACCAATCCATTTCAGACAAATGGTTGTCCAGTCTCTTTTTAAAAACTGTCCCTGTTGGATTGCCTAGTTGGGGAGTTGTTTATTCTCACAGGGTTTGATTTCCTTTGCATTTTAATTGTGAATGTGACTGTGAAAACAATAATTACCAGTTTTACAGAAGTATTACAGACCTCTCTCAGAAGTTATGTAGTCATGTATGTCAGTTAACCAACATAATTCATTCATTGGATCATTCAGGTATCATGCCAAAAAACTCGACACAATGTCTATTTCAGAAGGGGTAGACCTCCATATAATTTGCTGTTTCCCTATTCTATCCAAAGAGGTATTTGCTTTTTATTTTTATTTATTTTGGTGATGCCTTTGAGTCACTGAAGATTGCCTGCACTGGTCCTTTCAGTTTATTTGACAAGATTGTGAAAGAAGCTTGTCATTGCCTGCTTCCAAGGACAGAAGAGAGTTGCTGGTCCAAAATCATCCAGACAGCTTTGTGCTTAAGATGAGACTAACTCATGTTCTTCCAGCTTCTTATCTTAACCACCACACCAATTTAGGCCTCAGATTTTGGCTAAGTTTAATACCTAAGCCATTTATTAGGATTAGGTCTCCCTTCTGCAAGTTCTACAAATGGAATGGAATGTGCTAGAATGGTCTTTTATAAAAAAAAGAAAGAAAGAACATTATTCTTTCCTTCAAAAAAATATCAGGAGAGTGATCACTTCCATTCTTTTGTAGTTAAATGAGAAAAGGGGGAGAAAAACATTGGTTTCTCACTTAATTTCTGCAGAAAATTTTTGTGGTACCTCATCATTCCACCCACAAACAATAAGATTTCTTGAAACTCTCCTATAAAATCCCCAAATCTGCTGGGATTTTCCCAAAAGGCAGGAGCCATGTGGCTTTAATGCTTTTTGCAAGAAGCTAAAGATGTGATAATGATAAAAGCTAAAAATCACAGTTGCCTTGGAGTTTTCCTAGTTATATAGACTCTTGGTTTTTCATTTATTTTTCTATGCATCATACTGAGTTTTTTGTTCAGTGGAAAAGTATATTTTAAAGAATAAATTATGATAGTTTGGCTTCAAGTTGATTACTCTAAGATTCTTCTCTTTATTTGGTTGTTCATAGGTCTTGACTGAAAGTCTGGTTTTATTTAGTCATTTGGTTTGTGAGACCTTTTGTAAATTGGACCCAGGCTGACTGTGGATATGAGTTCTACCACTTCCAGGTAAATTTTCCACAATATTCACATCAATGGAGAAGAGATTTAGTCATGGGTCATGCTAATTGTGGTTTTCCTATAATTTAAGATCACCTCATCGGTACTGAAAATCAAAACCATATAAAGGATGCAAAGAATACTTTTAAACCAATAATATAAAAACAATGCGCTCTAATGGAATTGCAGATATGTCATAAGAAACAATTCAAATAATTAAGTGTTCTTCCAAGTGTCACAGAGAGTTAACCATAGAAATACAGCAGGAAGAGTCTAGAGGCCCAGTTCCCTATAATTCTATAATTCCATAAAATGACTACTGAAGACTGTAGCATTTGAAGAATGTAACCTATAACTTAACAAAATACTGCATTAGATGCTGAAACAGGAAATGATGCAGCCATACTATTTTGCTTTAATTTGTCTCTCTTTAACTTTAGAGATGAAGAAGAAAAAGACACGTTTAAAATTTTAGTTGCTACAGACATTCACCTTGGATATTTGGAGAAGGATGCTTGTCGTGGAAATGATACTTTTGTAACCTTTGATGAAATATTGAAACTTGCTCAAGATAACGAGGTAAACCACTTTGAAATCATGTTACCAAACAACCACTGAAAGGCCACATATAGGTAGTCCTCAATTTATGACCACAGTTGAGCCCAAAATTTCCATTGCTAAGCAGGGCAGTTGTTAAGTGACTTGCGCCTCATTTTACGATATTTTTTTTGCCACAGTTGTTAAGCAAATCATTGCAGTTGTTAAATGAATCATGCAGTCATTAAATTAATTTGGCTTCCCCCCATTGACTTTGCTTGTCTGAAGCCAGATGGGAAGGTTACAAATGGTGATCACAGGATAGTGCAACAGTCACACATACTTGCCAGTTGCCAAGTACCCCAAATTTTGATCATGTGACTACAGGAATGCTACAACGGTCGTGTGAAAAGTGACCATAAGTCATTTTTTTCCAGTGCGCTTGTAACTTCAAATGGTCACTTAAATGAATGGTTGTAAGTTGAGAACTATCTGTATTTCTTAGAAATTATTCTTATTGTTAGGACATTCATTGCATATTATACAAATGACATTGTGAAATGAAGACCAATTTGAGCCAGTTGTACTGTCAATAGACCTGGGGCAGAAATGAAAAATTAACCATGGCATGTGTAGTTCATATTTGTATACTACCTATCAGGGTGGGATCCAACCGGCATAACAACCAGTTCGAGGAGCGTGCGCATGCACGTCAAATGTGCGCTGCATGCGCGTACTACCAGCTTCGGCAAGCATTTACCTTCTCCAGCTGACGAGCGGCACTCAGCTGTGCCGCACAAAGCGGAGGAAAACAACCACTAAAGGACAGCCTAGAGCCTGGTTGGGCGGGTGGGCCATACAGCAGACCAAAACCTCATCCCAGCAAACCAGTTCAGTGTCAGCTGCTCTTCGGAGCTACCGGTTTGATAGAACTAGACTAAACTGGTAGGATCCCACCCCTGCTACCTACCTACTGGGGCTCAGTTAACAATCAACAATCAATAGATAAATGAAATTGGTTTTAAGACATATAGGAATGTTAACCATCCATAAGTCAGTCGCAGATAGTGGGACAATTAAACTCACCTTTAAATTCACCTTTTATAACAAACATATCTGGGTGTACTTTTCCATCTTCAGTCCTTTCTATTTTCAGTATAAGAGGTACTTTATTATGCTTCTTTAATTAACATAATAACTTATTTTATACATTGGGCATTTCAATCAGGGTTAAAAAATAAAACCTGTCAATTTCTAGAAAGGGCCCTCTTTTGTTTTCTATATATTTTGAGCCTTAAAAGGACTTCAGATGCATTTGGGGTTTAGTGGCATGGAAGATGGCAGGATTTAGGATTCATAGACCAAAAGCCACTTTGGAGAGGCTGTAAACGTAATGCCTGCCTGCGACTTCTTAAAGTAGCCACATCTATTCTCAAAAAAAAAAAAATCAATCCAAAAACATTGTCTAGTTGAACCATTTTCAGAAATCTATCATTTTGAGAAAAATGCATATATAATAATAACATATCCTACAAAATCTCTTTATAGGTGGACTTCATTTTATTAGGTGGGGATCTCTTTCATGAAAACAAGCCTTCCCGAAAAACAATATATACATGTTTAGAATTATTAAGAAAATATTGCATGGGTGACCGTCCTGTACAATTTGAAATTCTGAGTGACCAGTCAGTTAACTTTGCCTTTAGCAAGTAAGTATTCCTATAGTATATTAAATTCAGTTTTGTGTAAATAATTGATTGTAGTTGAATTACAGTTGTAACAACTATAAATAACCAAAGAAAGTTCTTTCTTTTGATTAGTGGTGCTAATTCCGGACAATATAGTACATACATTTTTATTGTGGTTTGTTATTACATTGGGAGTTTTCCTGTTTGGTCTGCTTAATGGAGTTCTTGATTCCCCCACCTCCCTGAAATTCTGTTGCATTAGCCTTGTGGCCTGTAAATAAAAATTCTATCCATTCATGAAAAGTGCTAAAATGGGAGAAATGCACTTTTCTTTTATATATATTAAAATATATTTCCCAACTTCCTGAGCAGCTTTTCATATTAAGGAGCAATGTATAAAAACTGTCTCATCCCTTTTCTCAGAACAGATAGTTTATCAAATTAATTCTATTCCACTCTTCTATTGAATTCAATAGAAGGGAATATATGTAGCTCAGGGTTCAGCTTTAAAGTTCTTGGTGATCTTTTGAGTTTGGTTGTTTGCTTGTAGACTTTTCATTATCCATTAGCTAACATCATCAGTGTGAATGTATATGGAGTTTGCTGCCTAATATGGCGGCCGGACAAACCACTACATATAGACACCAAATCCCACACTCCATCATGCTGATGATGTTACCTAGTTGGATAGTGAAAGGTCTGTAACCAAATGGTCAAACTCAGAGAAGAACATCAAGAACTTCACAATTCTGAATTCAGTCTATAAGGTTTAATTCTATAAAAAATACATTCCTGTAGAGTTTAGTTGCATGTTGGAAATGATGCAGTAATATTTTTGTTTGCTTTAAACTTGTGCTGTCTAGGTTTCCATGGGTGAACTACCAAGATGAAAATCTCAACATTTCTATTCCAGTTTTTAGTATTCATGGCAACCATGATGATCCCACTGGGGTAAGAATGTTAAAAGAATGAAAGTAGAGCAGTAGCTTTATTAATTATGCTAGTAATCCTTTAAAAAGACAGCCAAGAATATGAAAATTACAATCTAGCAATCCCATACTAAAATCTGCTAGTGAAATTAAGCATGAGTTATCTTGTATTCTATACCAAGTGTTTGGTAGGCTGAAAATTTATTCCTTAAACTTGCTGTCAAGTTTAACATAAATTATGATTAGGAATGCATACAGGATAAAAATAGCATTTAATGTAGTTCATGGTTTGTATTTTAGCATAGAAAAATAATATAACTTCCTTAGGGTAAAAGCATAGAACCTTTTGTTGTGTAATCGATTTGGTTCATTGTCTTCATCAAAAAACCACCAAGTTTTAAAAATTAAACTTTTACCGTACTGTTGTTAATTTGTGGAAAAATACACTAATTAGTTACATTCTGGCTTTTGTCTAATTGTTCACAGGTTATTCTTAATCTGGAGGAAGTAAAGCAGATTAGAAGCTAAAGTATTTGCAACGCCGCGTTATGTAGCTTGCAGTCACTCTTACGTTTCCCCCACTTTTGAGACATCAAAGGTTTTAGACTAGAGGCCATTTAAATACAGGAAAAAACATTAATTTGTCATTTAATGTTTGTCTGAGAGATTTAAGCACTCATAAATGCAAAGTATACTGGTTTTTTATTTATGTGCACACATACACATAAGTACAAACACATTCTAGTTTTAAAGCTTTATATGTTGGGAATTTAACAAAATTGATGTGTCACAAATTCCATTTTTGTTATCGTTTTCCGTAACTATAGGCAGATGGTCTTTGTGCTTTGGACATTTTAACCTGTGCAGGACTTATTAATCATTTTGGACGATCACCATCTATAGAGAAAATAGAAATTAGTCCCATTTTGCTTCAAAAAGGAAATTCAAAGATTGCTCTTTATGGATTAGGTAAGACTTTTGCAGACTGGGACATGGTATTTTGTATATACAAGTAGTTTTCCAAAAATGTAACAAAAATAACGATATTGAATTGATTTTTATGCTGGGGGTTAGAATTAGGAGGAGTAACATGATTTGATCCACAAGAAATTGATTAGGTGTATGTAAATATTTCCAACTATTTCAGGTGCAAAATTTTGTGAGATAACCCATTTCTGAGTGAAAAGCCACTGCTTTGTGGCTTGGTGGGTGTGGCCTACTGGAACTTCCGTGAGGGCCATTTTTTGCCTTACTCGGGGTCCAGAGGCACTCTGAAAACCAGAAACAGGCCTGTTTCTGGACTTCCAAAACTTCCGAGAGGGCCGTTTTTCACCTTCCCCAGGATCCGGAGGCTTCCCTTGGGCCTCTGAAAGGATGAAAACGGCTTCCCCCTGGGTCTGGAGGCCCTCCGGAAGCCGGAAACAGGCCCATTTCCAGACTTCCAGAAGGCCCACTTTTTGCCCACCCAGAACTTCTGCGCAGACCCTGCGCTTACCTGCATCCAAAATGGGCTGCATAGAGACTCGGGGGGGGGGCGGGGGGCAGCCGGTCAGTTCAACTATCGGTTCAGTGAACCAGATGTAAATTTAACATCAGTTCACCCGAACCAGTCCAAACCATTAGAATCCCACCCCTGGATCTAAACATTCAGAAGTGTTTCAAGCTCAATTACCACTCCAAACACTGAAATGAAGTTTCATTCTTGAAAGGATTCAAAACGAAGTGTTCTGTATATCTCCAAATTTTATATACGGTATATTTTCATGCAATGAGTAAAGGAGTCCCTGTGGACTTTACTCTGCTAGTCATTGCCGACTGTAGGGGGCGCTTATCTCCATTTCAAAGCCATTGAACTAGTGCTATCCAAAAACATTTTCATGGTCATGTGTCCAGCATGACATCACAGAGTACTTCCCACCGAAGTGGTACCTATTTACCTACTTGCACTTACATGATTTCGAACTGCTAGGTTAGCAGGAGCTGAGGTGATGATGGGAACTCACCCCATCATGTAGAACTGAGGTCTCAAATGTAGGCTATTGGCTTTCCAGCCAACAAGCCCAGCATCTTACCTGCTGAGCTACCCCCCTGCTCCTCATGCAGTGAGTGGCATGTGGAAAAAGGATAAGACTGCAAAATGTTCCCAGCCCCAGTTTGTCTTTAAGCATTGCAAAGGACTGACAAGGTCAGGGCCCACCTAATCTCTGGGGAAAGATTTTCCAACAGAAACAGCTTTCTTTAGTTGGCAAGCTGGCTGTGTAGCAAGCAAAATGTTAAACTTGCTTCAATCATTTGCCAGTAGAAAACTGCAATGTTACCTAAATATGAATTGGAATCTCACTACTCAGCTGTGTAATTGTCTGCTTGGTGGATCACTAAAAGCCCATTGCATATCATTTTTCTCTTCTAGGATCTGTTCCCGATGAGAGACTATATCGGATGTTTGTGAATAAACAAGTAACCATGTTGAGGCCGAAAGAAGATGAAGATAGATGGTTTAACATGTTTGTCATTCATCAGAACAGGTACAGCTGCTTTTTAGTAAGGCAACCAGTCCGAATGTTTTCCACTTGATTCATTCCGATTTAAAATCATTAAAATTTTTGTGTCATGCAAAACAAGTTCAAGCTGCATTAATTAGCTCCATCCATCCATCCATCCAAAAATGAGTCAAAACAGCTTACAAAACAGCATACGATAACCTGTAGGATAAGTATGCATTAAGAAATCAACTTCATGGTCATATTGCAGTAACAACAAGAATCTAATTCAACATCCCTTACGTGCATCTTCACTACACCCTTCCCCTACTTTTGAGTCTATTAATGCTTGCTGAGATAGCCAGCTTTCTCTACTTGTCTAAAATTGTCTAAAAGAGTTGAAGGCAAGAAACTCTTTTTCAGATTCCCGTCCTGTCAGATTTCCATGTTGTATCTTAAGGGGAGTGACACAGGACTTGATCAATACAATGGTCTACCTGGAGATGGCAATCCTGTAGTTATCTAGGCCCTGAGTCCAGGCTATGAAGGGCTTTTGCTATTTGTAGATGACTATTGGAGCTTTAAATAGTATTGGGAAACAAATTTGTATTTCTAGGACAGAGATCCCCAAACTTGGCAACTTTAATACTTGTGGACGACTTCAACTCCCAGAATTCCGAGAGTTGAAGTCCACAAGTTTTAAAGTTGCCTATTTGGAGACCTCTGTTCTAGGAGATCAGAATTAGGCCAGGTGATTTAAGAAGCCCTATGGAGGCCTGCCTCAGTGAAATTTAATCTAGACATAGTTCCTCACTCTGAGGAGTGTGATGGGTGTCCCTTTTTTCCCCCTTAGCCTACCTACCCCAGGTTACATGTTATGCCTTTGGTCTGTATTCATCACATCTGGAGAACATAGATACTACTATGTTCTTCTCATCTGGATCCTGAATTGATAGCCTGTTGGTAGTCGTATCATCCATCCTTAGATGTTGAGATCGTTGTTTATTTGCACCCGTGGAATGATCACTCTCATTGATCAAGTCAGTGTCACAGTTTTCAATGTTGCAAAATAATTTTAGAACTGAAGCATCAGAATGTAATTATAATAAACAATAATGAAACAAAATGCAAGGATAATAAAACAAGGACAAATAGGCTGAAAAACAGCTTCTATCTCAGGGAAGTAACTGTTGAATTCTACTGTATAGTACAATATTAATGCAATATCAAGGGGTTTCAATGTATAGAATGTGAAGGGTGTGTGTTTGTGTTTATTTTCATAGTTATAATGTACACTGAAGGTGGTATTTAATTTCGTTGTACGAGGTGCAATGGCAATAAACTAAACTAAACTAAACTAAACTAAACTAAATTAAAGATGTTTTGAAATTTAGATGGGATTGTATCTGTAGATATCAGAGTCTAATATTTTCTTTTACTTTCCCTTATATTTTGATAACTGATCACATTTGGGATAGTGAGAATGGGTCTAATATTGTGATAACATTCCATATTTTAAAATTGGGTACTTTGGTTTGTTTTTGCAAAATGCTGTTTTATTTATTTATTTCTATCGTGTTTGTTTTCTTTGGCACAGGAGTAAACACGGCGCCACAAACTATATTCCAGAACAGTTTCTAGATGACTTCATTGACCTTGTCATTTGGGGTCATGAACATGAATGTAAAATATCTCCAACCAGAAACGAGCAACAACTTTTCTATGTTTCTCAGCCAGGAAGTTCGGTGGTTACATCTTTGTCACCAGGGGAAACTGTCAGAAAGTACGTTCTTATGTGTTTCACTAATTTGCATTGTATATCCAGTGAAAATGTGTGGGAGCCTTTCCTCTAAATACCAGTACTATATTCTTTTCATTCTTTTCTTTTTTTGGACATATTGGTTCTGTTGCGCTTATCACAAGGGATAATCCAAAGAAAATAGGGAAGGAATGTGATTTGACAAATAGCATTTCCGTTGTCACAATATTGAAGCCATCCTGACTATTAGTAACTTATTTAAGGGTTAATAAATTACTCACTACACCGTTCCCCCAAATGCAGTATCCTTCTTGGTATTATCAAGGATCTATATATACTACTCTACTAAACAAATAATTCCTTTAACACTGTCCAACTATTTACAAAATCTGCACTACTATTTCTACTAATCTTCTCATCAGTCCTTATCACCCATCCCCTCCCACTTGTGATTGTAGGACTGTAACTTTGTCGCTTGTATCCTTACGATTTATATTGACTGTTTCCTAGTATGATTTGATTGCTTATTGTACCCTATGACTATTATTAAGTGTTGTACCTTATGATTCTTGACTCTTGATGAATGTATCTTTTCTTTTATGTTTACTGGGAGCATTTTCACCAAGACACATAAGATTCCTTGTGTGTCCAATAACACCTGGCCAATAAAGAATTCTATTCCATTAAAATTTGTAAACTAAGGAAAGAAAGCCAGAGAGACTTGTTTAAAGAGAAATCCTTCCGAAGAACCTTTCCCACTAATGGTGCTAGTAAATTATAAAAATTCACCCTCATCTGGTAAATACAATCCCTGTGATAAGAGTTGCACAGAATCTTGAGTTTTCAGAGTAAAATCCAGTAGGGAAAGAAACTACAAGTCAACCGCCCCATTGGCATGCACTCCAAAAGAAACTTCCGAGACATCTTTATTACCAAGAGTAAAACTTTACTAACAGATCCATCCAGGCACAGAAGAAGCGGTCAGTTCTGAGGTTTTGACGTGGTCTTGAATGAAAGCTTGCCAGTTGTCAGCCCGGCATCCTAACCTCGCGAGCCACCACGCGCCTTACCTTTTGATGTTTCTAGATGGGAGTTTTGGCCATGGATCTTGATCAGCTCCATCTCTGAGGGTTCCATTTTTATTGCCATTGGTTTCCGCCAAAGTCTGTGGCTATTCTGAAGTTCTACCACATTGCCAAGCTGTAAACAGCTTTGTTTCCATGCCTTCCAGACATGTTGGCTTGTTGCACATCAAAGACAAAAAAATGAAGATACAGAAGATTCCTCTCCAGACGGTACGGCCTTTCTACCTTGAAGACCTTGTTCTGGCTGACAACTCAAACTTATTTCTCCCAGACAACCCCAAAGTCACACAAGTAATACAAGATTTCTGCATGGAGAAGGTAATGATTTTAAAAAAATACTGCATACAGGTATTATTCTTTTAAAAAAACAAAAACAAATTTTATTCAGTTTTTCACATTAAAAACAAAAATCTCTTTTTAGTTGACAACCTATTTCCGGGTCACCACCTTTACGTACAAATATGACAGCAATTATACATTCATATATGCATACTTAATTCTATTATTACCATTCCAAATTTTCAGTAAGGAGAGAAACAAACAGATTAATTCTAAGCCTCTTTCATTAATCTCAATCGAAACATCTTTTTGTTTCATTTCAATTATTTCAAATATAATCCTTTAATATTTATTTTAAAAATAAAGATAAACAATATGTGTTTGCATAATAATAATAATAATAATAATAAAGGTTACCAATGTCTCTCCTTGCTTTTAATAGTCTATATTAATTTATTAATCTAGTTGGTTCTTTAGTCTGTCATATTCCCTTTCCATTACACATTCTTTTTATAAATTCTAGATTAATACAAATTTTAACACTTAAAAAAAAACAAGTACAGGTTTCCCCCCTTTTACTGCTTTGAGTGTGACACCTCAGTGATTAAAATATACTTTTATTCCCTCATCTTGATTCCCAATAAACAATTATTTTTAAGAAGTTACAATAATAATCATTACATCTTTTCATTTGGATTCCACAGCATATTTCCCCCCCTTAATTTTTAATAAGAGTTACCAGTGTCTATATTACCCTATTTTCTAAATATTTTTAATTGCAGAAATATTCTTATTACCCCTTGTCGCCCTGCAGAATCCCCTTTTTAATTCATCAACCATTATCTCTGAAAAACCAATTTCTTTTCAACATTTTACTATTTCCGTATTTCTTTATTTCATGGACCTGTTTCCTACTGCTTCTCCTCCCCCTCTTTTCCCTATATCTTTTCTCATTCCAGTTTTTCTTAATATTTTCCTTTCCTCTTTTCTGCTGGGTCTTTCTGTCTTTCCTGACTTCACAGGTATTCCCCGTTTTGATTGCCTTCTTAAATCTCAACTTTTTAACCTTCTTTCTTTCCCCACTTCTTTGTAGTGTTCTTTGTGTTAATTGTCTATTTAAGGTGTCTTTTCCTTGAGTCGTTCTCGTTCCTGCATTCCAAGCGCCCAGGCCGAGCTGCAGCTATCCCTCTCTCGTCAGTGCCATCTCCAACAACAGCAGCAGCAGCGGCGTGAACCGTTGAAGCGTTTCAGCTGCCTCCGTAACTTCCATGGTTCCCGCCGCTGCTGCCGCTGTTGTTGGAGATGGCATTGGTGAGAGAGGGACAGCTGTAGCTCGGCCTGGGCGCTTGGAATTCAGGAACGGCCTGCGCACCGGGACTTTTGCAAACTTGCAGAGCCCGAGGCTGGAGCACCAAGGGTAGCAGCAGCAGAGACGCTCGCTCGGCTCTTCTCACACCCACCCAGCCATTTGGGATTAAACCCAAACACAGCGCGTGGCGCTCCCAGGTACCTCAAAATCTTTTGTTTCCTGTTGTTATGGGGACGGGGGAAAACTGGGAGCGACTCAGATGCTGTTGCTGGAGACGGTGCTGGTGCACGGGGAGGGGGGAGAAATTAATTCACCCCCAAAAAGACATCCTAGCCGTTTTTTCGGGCTTCAAAAAAAAATTAGGCCCAGCCTTATTTTGTGAGAAATACGGTAGATACCAATGCAGGACAACGTTTTCGGCTGAGAACTTGTGCTGCAGTACAGTAGAACCTCGGGTCACAAAGGCTTCTGATCTTGACCAAATCAGGTGCCGACCCAAAAATCCACAAAATGTTCAACTCTAGTCATGAACACATCCTCGAGTGGCAATCAAACACAGCTGCGGGGATTTTCCCTGCTGCACAGTTTTTTTGTACTCACATGCGCAGTCTGTCTCGCTTCTGGTCACAAACAAATCGGGTTGTGACCGAAGTCCTGGACTGGATTATGGTCGTGACCGGAGGTTCCACTGTACAATCACCTTTTTAAATAAGTTAAGCTTATTTTAAAGAACGTGTTACATTTTTTAGTATTTTATGCTTCCAAAATGGCAGAAAAACTTTTGGCAATTGCTGCTGTCAAGGTCCCATATGACTCCAAAAAGGGGTTTTAGGAGTCTGTTTAGACTGGGGGTTATAGATGGCATACTCTTGTTAATATTTCCTATCATAGGCCTTCTCAAATGTTTTGGCAACACTGCTTTTCATTTCTCTGTGAATAGACTAGATCGTTGTGGTACTGTCTATTCCCATGAAGTGAGAAGAAGAGATTCCAGTTCTATGTTGCTTAAATTAAAGTTGCTGTGGCTTTCAGAGTATGACAAGCACAATAAATCGAATACTATTCTGTGTTTGGGATGGATTATCTTCATTGGAAATGAGCTTTGTGGCTTTCCATTTATGTAGTTTTGATTTAAGTCCAATATATACGTACCAGAAGAAGAAAAATTCTAAATTTAAATTAAAAATTGCTCGCTTTAATCTACGTGCATATGTTGATATCTGGTAGAACAGTTTTTGCATTTAGCAAATTATGTCCCTTTCTTAAAGGTTGAAATGATGCTGGATAATGCAGAAAGACAACGTCTTGGAAATCCCAAGCAACCAGAGAAGCCTCTAATAAGATTACGAGTAAGAATGTGGACTTCAAATCAGATTTCTTCCTCATGTTTTGTTTAGCCTCGTAACCAAATTTTAATAGGCAGTAACTTTTCAAGTATGGGTTAATTTTAAACAATTCTACACATCTAATGAATCTCTTGAGGCTTTAGTTTTGCTTAATTAAGTAGCAATAAAATGTGCCTTAGAGATGGAGATTGAGGATCTTACAGGAGCTAATTTTATAAACTCCATAACTGCTTGAAGATGCATGAATGTTAAAATTGAATACATTTTCAGATATGCCAGCTGTTAGTACACAGTGTTCCTGTGAATTACTAACAGTAGCTGGAATGTGCTATAATACTAATACTTAAGTAAATATTTGCTATGCTAAAATAATAAAGTGTTTCCTAATATTTTAGTAAAATGATAAGCGCATCAAACTCAACGGATGAATTTTTAATTATTTTCAGATGCCTAATTGCAAATTCTCCCATCTTTTATGCTTTATCTTGTTTGATTTGAAGGTGGATTACAGCGGAGGCTTCGAACCATTCAGTATGGTTCGTTTCAGCCAGAAATACATGGATAGAGTGGCTAATCCAAAAGATATTATACATTTTTTCAGGCATCGGGAACAAAAAGAGAAAAATGGTAAATGATTTTTTAAAAAGTATACAATTTCCAAATTTGTTGTAGTAAGTATTGTCACTAGGAAAAATAATATTATCCATAGAAGTTTTTACTTTTTGTGCTGGGATGGGTGAGTAAGATGAAGAATAAGTATAATTACAGGTAGTCCTCAGCTTGCGACCACAATTGAACTCCAAATTTGAAGTAGGAACGGTTATTAAGTGAGTTTTGCCCCATTTTATGACCTTTCTTCTATATGACTTCAATATAGAATCAAATTAATTTTACTAACTACAAACACCTTGCACATAACTGAGCATGCAGAAAGATACAATATTTCCTATTTATATTAACCATGTTGAACACATTCAAAATGTAGAGAATAAAACTCATTTATAGGATCAATAACTCCACTTACTGATTGATAGATTTTCATGGCTTTGGATCTCAGAAATTTCCCCCACTACATTATTTCTGTCATTTTCATGCTACCCCCCAAAATTATACTCCAATGTTGGTCCTTCTTGAATCTCCCACTTCCATGCAATTAATATGATTCTTCCTGAAAACAGCTGATTTGTTCTGATAATGTTTTTTTTTCACAGTACACCAGCCTATTTGATTGCTATAAATTGTAATAGTCATTTGCCATAAACCCTTAACCTTTGCCTAAAATCATCTGGTAAAGAATCCTATTCATCTATACGCAATGTTTAATTCAGTGTCCCCGTATTTAACATTCCTTTGAAATATGTGTTTACATGTGAAATTACAGTACAATTTCATTACAGCTGATTCTTACCATGGTTTGCATTCTTTTTCATAAGGCACTAGGAAGAATAATTACGTCCAGGGCATTCTTTTCTATTTATGCAAGATGAAATGGTGGGGTGCTTTTTAGCACTAGCAGATTGTTAGTCCTTGTTTCACTGATGGTTTCAACATTACTTTGTCACCTGGTTCAGAGCACCTTGTTTGTTTGTCCAATGATATTGAGAAATATGCCCCAGTTTTTAAAAAGAAAATTATTAATAGCTGATAAACATTCTGTATTAAACACCAGATAACAGATAATCAGAGTTGGAAGGGACCTTGTAGGTCACCTAGTCCAACCCCCTGCCCAACCGGGAGACCCTACACCATTTCTGGTAGATGGTAGTTCAGTCTCTTCTTGAAGGCTTCTAGTGATGAAGCTCCCATAACTTCCAAGGGCAATTTCTGTTCCATTGGTTGATTGCTCTCACTGTCAGAAAGTTTCTCCTTATTTCCAGGTTAAATCTTTCCTTGTTCAGTTTCCATCCTTTATTCCTTGTCTGGCCTTCAGGTGCTTTAGAAAATAGCTTGACCCCTTCCTCTCTGTGGCAGCCCCTCAAATATTGGAAGACTGCTCTCATGTCTCCCCTGGTCCTTCTCTTCACTATATTAGCCATGCCCAGTTCCTGCAACCGTTCTTCATATGTTTTAGTCTCCAGTCCCCTAATCATCCTGGTTGCTCTTCTCTACTTTTTCTAGAGTTTCAATATCTTTTTTATAGTGTGGTGATCAAAACTGGATGCAGTACCTTAGGTGTGGTCTTAGGCTTTATAAAGTGGTATTAGTACTTCCCTTGATCTTGATTGTATCCCTCCGTTAATGCAATTTAGGGTTGCATTAGTGAGCACCAGTAAGGTTTGCTGAAGTGGAAATGAATCTAAAAAAACATTCCTGATCATTTGAAATGAAATTGGTACAAGGAAATGATTATTACAATGACATGTGTATTAGGAGAAAAAAACCATGATCTCAAGCTATATTAAAGGCTACTCTAGAGTTTTCTGTGTTTTTAACAGGCCCTTTGAAAATCCAATCATTATTTTGAACAATTGTCTTTGCATTTTAAAGTTAGAACAAATTAATATTTTTGAACAAATTGTTAACCCAGTTCTGAGTCTTAGGTTTCCTAATTGAGCATGCGAGTAAAATGTATTCAGTAAGACTGAAAACTGAATGAAAGTAGAAAATCTGCAGTAGAAACCCGTGTTATTTTAATTAGTATTGTTTGTTGAAAATTATTATTTATTTTATCTTTCTGTCTGTATTTTTAAAATGTAGAACTTCTGCTTTCCATGAAAAACATATACCTGTCCAAAAACCTTCTGTTAAAATTCACTAAACTTTTAAAATAAAACGTATTTTCTGTGTGTCTGTCAGATATATGTTTGTGTGATTTAAAAAAAAAACCCTCTTCATAATACTGATCATTATAGCAAGCATTTCCTTAAAATGTATTAAAACATATTTTATATTTATTTATTTATGGTTTTAGAAGACGAAGTTAACTTCAGAAAACTGGTCCACAGGCCTGCAGCTGAGGGAACAACACTTCGGGTAGAGGATTTAGTAAAGCAATATTTCCAAACAGCAGAGAAGGTAAACATATTTTTCCAGTATTTATGACTAGGTTTAAAAATAATCATCAGACTAGGTCAACTTTGGCAATTTGAAGATGCATGGACTTCAACTCCCAGAAATCCCCAACCAGCATTCTCCAGCTGGCTGGGGAATTTTGGGAGTCAAAGTCCACACATCTCCATACTGCCAAGGTGGAGAAACACTGGACTAGATTTTAATTGTACGATTGGAGTTCCATTATTGGGCTTCTACATTTAAATGTTTGGCAGTGGCAGGTCTCAAAATTAATGAAGAAAAGACTAAAATATTAGCTAAAAAGTTAACAGAGAATCAGAAAATTAATTAGAATTAGAATTAGAAAGGGAAATGGGATTGCAAACTACAAGGAAATTCAAATACCTAGGAATATGGTTAACTGTGAGGTGTTCCTCGATGAAAGAAAATAATTATATGAAACTGTTGCAACAAATAAAGAAAGACTTGAAATTGTGGGAGAAATTACAATTATCTCTACTAGGAAGAATCACTACGAGTACAATGAATGTTCTACCTAAATTACTTTATCTATTTCAAACAATCCCCATAAAATTGGATAAGAAGTTTTTTACGGAATTAAATAAAATTACCTTAACATTCATACGGTTAGGCAAGAAGGCTCAAATAAAATTAACAGCATTGGAGGATAGTAGGAATGAAAGTGGCTTTGGACTCCCAGAATGGGAACTTTACTGTAACACTGTTGTTTGCTTGTACATCTAGAATACAAATCAAAGTGTAGAGTCAGCTATGCAACAGCTGACTTGAAACCATGCCTTGGTGTTAAATGCCAGCTGACTTTGGCAGCAGGTGCTCTTTTATAGTTTAGTTACAACAAAATTTGCAACTTTTTGTAGCTAAGTTGCTTTTTGTAGTTAAGCTTTCTGTAGCTAAGTTGCTGCAAAAGTTAATAGCAATAGCATTTAGACTTATATACTGCTCCATAGTGCTTTATAGCCTTCTCTGAGCAGTTAACAGAGTTGGCATATTGTCCCATCAATTTGGGTCCTCATTTTATTGACTTCAGAAGGATGGAAGGCTGAGTCAACCTTGAGTCAACCAGGATCGAACTGGCTGTGGGCAGAGTTAGCCTGCAATTACTGCACTTTAACTACTGCACCAGCAGGGCTCTTAAAAGAAATAACTAAATCTTAGGTAAAACTAATCCTGCTTTCTTTTGTCTGATTAGTATATAAAATTAATTCAAATTGGCTTGCCTACAAGAAAGTGCAGCTTTCTCTTCTGAGCGAGAGGGGCATGGGGGAAGCCGTGCAAGAATTTGTGGACAAGGAAGAGAAGGACGCTATTGAAGAACTGGTGAAGTTCCAGCTAGAAAAGACCCAGCGATTTCTGAAGGAGCGGCATATAGATGCCGAAGAAGCCAAAATCGATGAGGAGGTTTGTATGGAATGATTTCATTCTTCCTGGACACATTCAAGAATTGAATATTACAAATGTCACATCATTGGCAAGGGGAATGACTGGACCAGCTGCTTCCATTTTTTTTAAAATCTGAGTTGCTTTTGGCTGCATTCAGATGGTCAACTCCTTGTATAATGTACCAGAATACACTGGTAGTCCTTGTCTTACAACCTTTATGAGCTCAAAATGTCCGTTGCTAAGCAAGGCAGTTGTTGAGTGAGCTTTGTCCCATCTTGCAACCTTTCTTGCCAGAGTTGTTAAGGGGATCACTTCAGTTGTTAAGTTAATAGCACGTTTGGCAAATGAATCTGGCTTCCCCATTGGAGTTGCCAACAGAAAGGGAGGAAGGAAAGGGGTTTGAAAGAGCAGTGCGGCAGCTTGGAAATCAAAAGTGCATTCCATACATAGTTTTTTCAGAGATAATAACTAGGTGACTGAAGGCTCTACCGCGCAAAAATCTAACTGGAGAGCATGATTGATGACTCTTGGCTATGGATGTGTCCCACTGGAGAATATGAATTATGATACACCCAGGCAGTGCCGACACGTTAACTCCCAAATAAATCCTGTTTAATTTTGGAAGTTTGGCTTGATTTAATTGGGGTAACTGCCGGAACCCTCACTGCTGGGATACTGACACTTTGCTTGTCAGAAGGTTGCCAAAGGTGATCTCCTGACCCCAGGACCCTGCAACTGTCATAAGTACATGCCAGTTGCCAAAAGTTCGGACTTTTGATCACATGACTATGGAAATGCTTCAATGGTCATTAAATGTGGAAAAATGGCCATAAGTCACTTCCTTCAGTGTTGTTGTAACTTCGAACAGCCACTAAACAAAATGGTTGTTTGTTGAGGACTGTCTGTACTTGTATTTCAGCTACCCTTCCCCCCCGCACCTTCTCTTTCAGCACGGAAAGAAGCTGCATTAAGCAGGTGTTCTTATTTCATCTGAATATATTCATTGATTCTTCCATTTCAATACAGGTGCAGCGTTTCAGAGAATCAAAAAAAAAGAACACAGTAGAAGAGGATGAGGAAGTTCGTGAGGTAGGCCGAAAACCGACAAAGAATCAGATGGGACTTAACCTAACCTAACAGTGTGCTTCATTTCTCTTTCTAAAGCAGGGGTGTCAGACTTGATTTTATGAGGGACGCATCAGGGTTGTGTTTGACATCAGGGGACAAGTGGGTGTGGCCTGGGTGGGTGTGGCCTGGGGTGTGTGGCATGGGTGGGTGTGGCCATCTCAATGCCCTGCAGCCCTCTGCAAGCAAAAATGGAGCCTGGGAGCCATTTTCCCTGGCAGAGGCACTGCGGGCCGGTCCTTTGCTGTTTCCAAGGCAGCCCCATGGGCCAGATCTAAGCACCCTGAAGGCCAGATCCAGCCTGCAGGCCTTGAGTTTGACCCCCGCCCTGCTCTAAAGAAATGTAGACACACAGTTCCCTTTGTTTCAAATCAAACTTTACACGCTGTTTTGCTGTCCTGTTTTCCTCCTTTCAGATTTAAGACCACTCATTTATTCAGCAGTAAACATCATCTTCCACCTCTTTGCTAATTTCCAGTCCAAGCATGGAGGAAAGTTTTGTGCTGCCCCATTCACACACACGCACAGAGAAACTCACACATAACTGTGGTTCAGTGAAGTTATTAATGTTCCCCAGCAATTCCTTTCACCAAGACTCAGAACTGTCCCAAATACATCCAGCCACAAGCCGGCCAAGATTAGTCTACAAAGCAGTGGGCCAATATTCCATAAAATAATCAAAAATTTCTCAAATAAGTCCCCCAAACAAACTTAAGTCCACCAGGCAAAGTTTAAACAACACACAAGCTCACTTGGCAAGAAAAGTTCAGTGTCTCCAAGGCACAGTTCCAAACACAGTGAAGCACGACAATCAAACAAACAGCTAGAAAGCCAACAACATGGTTTCCAGCAATGCCTCCCTCTGCCTGCTGTAATAAATAGCCACCTTTCTGGTGCAGCCCATCAAAACAAGGTGGGGGTGGGGTATTTCCTCCCGAGTAATCTGGCTGATCTCCATTGCTCCTATCTTTTCTCTGCCCTGCTTGCTCTCGGATCAGGTGCAGAAGGCAGCTCCTCCTCCTCTTCTCTGGCCGTGTGCCCCTGCAAATGTTCCCCTGCTGAAGCCTCCTCCAGTTCTCTTTCGGCTCCCTGTTCAGAGCCATCAATCAAATCCATTCCTGGCGTGCCAGGAATGAGCTCACCCTCCCTGGAGCTGGCCATCTGAGGAAGAATCTGGGGGGTGATCCAAGGGAGACATCACAGGCTTTCAGATTGAAGTGAAATTCTCCTTCGTTTCTTTCCCTGCTTGCTTCTCTTTCTCTCAGGCTATCAACAGGGCCAAGGCCAGATCTCAGGAGACTGATTATGCTTCAGCAATGAGTGATGAGGACCTGATGGATGCGACCACCTTTGACCAAGGAGTCAATGATGACTCGGACGACTCTTTAGCTCCCAGCTGGGGTAGACAGAGAGGTCGGGCAAGAGGCAGAGGACAGAATGTCTCAACCAGGAGAGCATCTCGGCGAGGAAGAGGAGGCTAGTTTCTGTCCATCTTGGTGCAGTTTCTATAAAGTTGCTGTGGTTTATTGTTGGCTTACAGGTTGTCCTCAACAACAGTTCATTTAGCAACCATTCGAAGTTACAATGGCACTAAAAAAAAGTGACTTATGGCCGTTGCAGCATCCCCATGGTCACGTGATCAAAATTCAGACGCTTGGCAACCAACTCATATTTATGACGGTTGGAGTGTCCCATGGTCATGTGATCACGACCGTGTGACAGACAAAGTTAGTGCGGAAGCCAGATTCACTTAACAGCCATGTTGCTAATTTAACAATGGCGATTCACTTAACCGCTGTGGCAAGAAAGGTCATAAAATGGAGCAAAATTCACTTTGCGACTATCTTACTTAGCAAGAAAATTGGTGGTGGGGCTTAGTTATGGTTGTAAGTCGAGGACTACGTGTATTCATCCAGCTTTTCCTGAAGGTGCTTAAGTGGTGCAGTGGTTAGAATGCTGTATTGCAGGCTACTTCTGCTGACTGCCGGCTGCTAGCAGTTTGACAGTTTGACAGTTCAAATCCCACCGGCTCAAGTTTGACTCAGCCTTCCATCCTTCGGAGGTTGGTAAAATGAGGGCCCAGATTGTTGGGGAGCAACATGCTGACTCTTTAAACTGCTTAGAGAGGGCTGTGGAGCACTGTGAAGTGGTATATACAGTAAAACCTCATGTCGCAAATGTTCCCGTTCGTGACCAAATTCGGTGGCGAACAAAAAATCCACCTGATTTTTGAATCGGGTCACGATTAAAAAAATCAGTTGGCGAACAAAATTGGCACAGAAAGATTGCCTTTCTGTGCCAATTTCCCCTTTGGCACCAATTGTTTTGACTGCATGCACGCACAGTCGGTCGTGCTTTCAGACACGATCAAATCAGGTTGCGACCAGAGTCCAAGAACAGATTATAGCAATAGCACTTAGACTTATATACTGCTTTATAGTGCTTTTGCAGCCCTCTCTAAGCGGTTTACAGAGTCAGCATATTGTCCCCCAACAATCTGGCTCCTCATTTTACCCACCTCGGAAGGATGGAAGGCTGAGTCAACCTTGAGCTTGGTGGGATTTGAACTGCCTAACTGTCATGACCCGAGGCTCCACTGTAATGCTATTGCAATTGCACTATATCAATTGTGGTTCAGCACCTTACTCGCTACATGTGAAGGCGGCTGTTTTCTTCTGTTAAACCCAAGACCTAAGGACGGCTGTACTACAGCAAATTGAAATCCTGCCCCAGAATAGCAGACCAGATCCTTCTGTAAAACCCAGAGGCAGGACTTCTCCAGCATCTGTTTCCAGAGACATACGGCTGCGAGAGAACTATTGAAGGAAGTTACTTTTCAAGTGATTTGTGCCGATAAGATAAGGAAAAATATTTTCCTTGTCTCCATAAGGAACAAAGAGACAATTATAGTTACGTCCTTATCAAACTGAAGCTGATGTATTTCCTACCTGTTTTGTGAATGAATGAATTCTTTTATTAGCCAAGTGTGATTGGACACACAAGGACTTTGTCTTGGTGCAAATGTTCTCAGTATACGTAAAAGAAAAGATACATTCGTCAAGAATCATAAGGTACAACACTTAATGATAGTCATAGGGTACAATAAGCAATCAAATCATACTAGGAAACAGTCAAGAGTCAATAGTCAACAGTCAACAATAAAAATCGTGAGGATACAAGCGACAAAGTTGCTGTCATACAGTCACAAGTAGGAGGGGAGGGGTGATAAGGAGTGATGAGAAGATTAACAGTAATAGTAATGCAGACTTTGTAAATAGTTGGACAGTGTTGAGGGAATTATTTGTTTAGCAGAGTGATGGCATTCATGAAAAAACTGTCCTTGTGTCTAGTTGTTCTGGTGTGCAGTGCTCTATAGCGTCGTTTTGAGGGTGGGAGTTGGAACAGTTTATGTCCAGGATGTGAGGGGTCTGTAGGTATTTTCACAGCCCTCTTTTTGATTCGTGCAGTATACAGGTCCTCGATGGAAGGCAGGTTGGTAGTAACTCTTTTTTCTGCAGTCCTAATTATCCTGTGAAGTGAGTCTGTCCTGTTGGGTTGCAGAACCAAATGCTCAGTCTTTTACTGAAATCAACTAACGTAATATCTTGAAAGCAGTGTGAGAAATCAGTTGTATAAAAGAAGGGGTGGTTCTCCTCTGCTGCATATCCTGCACCATGTCTCCTTTTGGATTTTGCAAAGCAGGAATTGTTCTGCTACTTTATGATTCCACCAAGGAGCATGTGACCAAATATACCTATTAAATCAAAGCAACATCTGGGGAAATTTATAATTTAAAGAGGGTTACATGATCATCGGTTATCCTCAACTTCCAGCCATTCATTTAGTGACCACTCAAGGTTATGCTGGTGCTGAAGAAAGTGATTCACTACCAGTTCTTGTACTTAAGGCAGTTGCAGGATCCCTGCGATCACTTGATCAAATTTCAGACGCCTTGGCAACTAGAACACCACTCTGTGCCAAATGACAATTTGCTTTTTTTATGGTAAGCTGCTATTTAAAGTAAAAAAGCCAACTTTTGGATCCCATATTTTCAGAATCTAGCTTGCTAGAAAGCTTAACTATGCATTTATAAAATAAACCCATAGAACGCTGTATTTTAGTTCCGTGAAAGTGCAAGTTTAGAATAGCAATAGCAGTGACACTTAGACTTGTATACTGCTACACAGTGCTCTGCAACCCTCTCTAAGCGGTTTACAGAGCCAGCATATTGTCAACAATCTGGTTCCTCATTTTACTGACCTCGGAAGGATGGAAAGCTGAGTCAACCTTGAGCCAGTGAGAATTGAACTGCTGGCAGCTGGCAGTCTAGCAGAATTCACCTGCAGTACTGCTTTCTAACCAGTGTGCCATCACAGCATCATATGCCAAAATCTGTCCACTCCAGGGTTTCTTGGGAAACAGCCGTAGTCCAGGAGGGTACGTGTTGTTCTCTTAACAGCCAAAGTTTCAGGATGTGATCAAGCTTTAATCTCTTTTTTTTGTCAATTTCATGCAATTTAGAATGCTTTATTCTCAAAATTATTTTCACAAAATGAAATAAGTAATTTTGGAGCTCAAATAATATTGTCTAACCAGGTACATTTGCACTAGGTGTCTGCAGGCCCTCCGGTGCCAGTCCTGTGTTGCTCCTTGCAGTCTGCACAAGCCAGTTTGGGAACACCGTCCTAAAGGCTTAGTAATTGGCGAAGAAGTGAGAAAATGTAAATGTTTACTCTCTGTTGTATTATTACAGGAAGTGCTGGCCGTGATCAGACTGGCAGCAGCAGAACATATAAACCTGCAACTACTACAAAAACTATGTCGATTTTAGATGGTAAGTTATTGTATAAGCTTTTATTTCACTTGGCCAGGAGCTTCCTTGGTTCATACAATACACTACTGTACATAGCACAGTAGATAGACATTAAATTTGTATAGTTTGATAGGTCAACCCGAGATATTTTAATATATTCAGTAAATTGTTCTTAAACGAAACATAGTAAGCAAACAAATTGTTGTCGTTTATGCAAATCTTTAAAATGGATATAAATGTCTATCATAATGTAGAACGAAAGTTAACTCTCATGCTTTGCAGTAACAGTAGTTTATTTCAAAGTCTCATCAATTTATCATAATTGCTATATATTCTTACTCTGATGTTTTCTAGCTTTTAAGTCATCCAGACAGCAACCCTCCCGAAACATGTCTGCCAAGAATTATTCAGAGGTTGGTAATTATTTCGTGATAAAATCCAGCAATTTCCCCTTTTTTATGGGTGTCATGCAGCCTTTTCCAGGCAGGTTGGGGAATACTACAAACTGCCATCTCAGTGCATCTGAAGGACATCCGTTGAATAAAGCTAATTTGCTGTGTAGCAGACAGGGAGCATCTTCTATGAAGCCTTGAGGTGTGGCATTTGTTTTGTCCATCTGCTTAGCTTCCCCTCTCCCTGGAAAGACCTGGGACTGCTGAGGTCCCTGAGATATCAAAAGCATCTTTAGGTGACTTTATAGAAGCCACACCCTTTTGTTGTGGCCTCTCAGCTGTTGAGCCTTCCAGCAACCGAATCAGAGGAGGAGGAGGTGTGGGAGTCAGGGTCGGCATCAAGGCAACCTGAGAGCTACGAGGGGGAAGAGGGAATGGAGCTGGCAGAGAGAGAGAGAGAGAGAGAGGCAGAGCCTGAGCCATCCATCAGCCCTCAGATGGAGAGTCAACAGCCTTCAGGTCTGGAGGTGGCTGATGAGGAAGAGGAGGAACAGCTGGGTCCAGTGCCTGACACATGGATGTGCAGAAGGCAGAGGAGAGGAGAGCAGTGGAAATCCATGGGCCAGTCCTTGGGACGGAAGAGCCACCCCTGCTAGCGAAGCTCCACCCTAGCTCTGGGGATCAAAGGCAGGGGACGGAGATGAATAGATGTGGCAGACAACTATTCATCTCCATGCTGGACAGGCTTCTTAGCCTGTGGTGAGAGAGAAACTTTTTGCCGGGGCTGCTGGCGCTCCCAATAAAGGAATCTTTGTATTAACTTCAGAGGGTTTGTTGTGTTTGGGGAGCTGGATCAGAACACCTTTCTTTGCAAAGAGGGCAAGTGTTTTATGACGTAAAAGTCTGAGACTCACAATACTGATTTATGGATTGGGTAACGAGGCATACAGTTGGGATACAATTGAGGGCCAATGTGTTCAAATCTTGGTACCATCTTACCGTATTTATTCAAATTTACACGGCTGCCCAACTCTCAAATAGGAGTAAACGCACAGGGGCAAGAAAACATTTTCAAAATCCACAAGCTATTTACAGGAGGGGCTCTTCCAACTTCCTGGCCCAGTGTTGAAGTGCAGTGGGGTGAATGGAAGGGTCAGATTTACAAAGGCTTATAGACAATCAGTTGGTCAGAGTCTTGAGCCCAGAATCCCAACAGAGAGGTCTTTTCCCCAAAAAAATCAGGTGTCACTTTCCCAACAGAAGGTAACTCAAACTACAAACTCAACATAAATCAGTAAAAAAAAAAAATTAGGGACAGAATTAGCCACCAATAAAAGCAAACATAAGGGATGTTTTCTTGTGCACGTACAGATAGTCCTCAACTGTTCATTTAGTGACCATTTGACAGTACTGCAGCACTGAAAAAGGTGACTTATGGCCGCTGTCAGGATTCCAGCAATCGCCCTAATTAAATCATGATTCTCGAGCCAAACTTCAAAAAACTTCAAAGGATTTATTAGAGGCGACATACTGGCACTGCCCTGTTTGAAGCCAACTCTGGCATTCGTAATTTACAGTCCCCTGTGACCCTGTTTCCCCCCCTCGTCCCTGGGTGTCTCATAAACCAGATTCTCCAATTGAACCCGTTCACGGGCTGGGTGTCATCATTCACGTTCTCCAATTAAATATATGCCTGGGCAAAAGCTCTGGTATTTTAGTTACAATCTTTTAAAGATAAGAGTTGGAATGTACTTTCGATTTCAAACTGCTGCACTGCTCTTCCAGATTTCCTTCCTCCCGCCACTTTTTTTTTTAATGGCAACTACTAAAACAGGCATAGGAATGTTTTATGAGTTGACAACCGCTTTTCAAACTTATGACCGCTGCAACATCCCCATGGTCACGTCAAAATTCAGACGCTTGACAACGGGTTCATATTTATGACGGTTGTGGTGTCTGATCACCTTTTGCAACCTTCTCACAAACAACATCAGTGGGAAAGCCAGATTCACTAAACAGCGTTACTAAGTGAACTGCAAGGACTAATAACTGTCTTACTAATTTGATTACTGAAGTGATTCATTTAACTCTGGGAAGAAAAAAATGGTAAAACATGCAAAACTCACTTAACAGACATTTCACTCAGCAAGAGAAATTTTGAGCTCCACTGTGGTTGTACGTCGAGGACTAGCTATATTAAAAGTGCTGCTTTCTGGGCCTTTGCTGTGTCTTCCAGGTGATTGAAGATGATGATTCTGATATGGAGGTGTCTTTTTCCACTTCTTCTACAAATCAAAGGTTAGTAGAACTGTGATTTGTTATTTATAAGAGGCCTGTCTAGGCCATTAGAGCAAGCATGGGCTGAAATGGCTTCTTCGCACAAGGTTAGGCGTGTCAGTGGGAACTCTTTTCCTTGAACAGAAGTGTGTCATGTCTACGGATGTTTGTGGGCATGCATACAGATCACATCGTGACCATATCACAAGCTGCTTTGGGAACTTTTCTTGAGTTTCAAAAGTAATTTCTCCTGTTCCGTGAAAGTTCTGATTCAAAAACTCAGTCTAAAACCCTCTTAAGTAAAAGTCATTTAAAGAACCATTATTATTTTATATTGTTACAGTTTGATTTTTTGTTCTGCACTACTGAGCTGTGGTGGTGCAGTGGTTAAAATGCAGTATTGCAGGCTAATTGTCCAGACTGCCGGCTGCCTGCAGTTTGGCAGTTCGATTCTGACCGGCTCACGGTTGACTCGGCCTTCCATGCTTCCATGGTCGGTAAAATGAGGACCGAGATTGTTGGGGGCAAGATGCTGACTCTGTAAAACCGCTTAAAGAGGCCTGTAAAGCACTGAGAAGCGGTATATAAGTCTAAGTGCTCTTGCTGTTACTATGTTATAGCACAGAGTGTGAGTTCACTGCTTTTTTTTTCTTTATTCCTCTTCTCTGCGCATTTAAAGTCAGCAATCTTATGTCCAGAATTATTTCCAAAGCTATATTTATCCTAAAAACCATTCTCACACAAAAGTGCAAACTGAAGTAGAGCAAAAGAAAAGAATTTTTAAAAAATACAACGAAGCACCGCTTGGTCATGCCTAAATCTATGGAAGGTTCTGATGTCAGGTGTTCTTGTAAGCCGTTGCTGAAAAGCTGCCTTTCAATGAATACCATCCTAATTTATTCTCTTTCACTGTAAGACTGCAGGACAAACCCATAACATATCATAAATTGGGATTCCAATTCTTTGGGAGACAGCAGTATTTCTGAAAGTGTGGCCCTGATCTGTGGGGAGTTTAGAGATAAGAGCCAACACTTGAAAACTGGGCTAGAAACAATTCAGAAACCTGTACAGGTAACAGATGAATTCTAGTATCATGATTTCATTAACAGTGATAACATCTCCTTCTTATAATACTTAGATTACCAACCACATCAACGCAAAGTCAGAGGAGCTCTCAGAGCCAAGCATCAAAAGGTGTTGCCTTTGAATCAGATGAGGTATAAAATCTTTCTTCCATCATGCTTCCTTTAATCATCATCATCATCTTCATTTAACGACCCCATAATCCCTTGCAGGGTGGAGTCTGGGCAACTGAATGGAGGTTTAATGGCCGGACGCCTTTCCTTGTCGCCAATACAGAGTTTTCTTCAGCAGATCTATTCTCAGTATGCCCAGAGAGAGAAATATCTGCCTCTATCTAGGATCAAACTCACAGCTGATTGTGAGGCGAGAGCTCCACCTCTAGGCCACCACACCACTCCATGCTTCCTTTAATCCATATGCAAAATGTTTGCATGATATTTAGGGCTTCTTACATCTCATCGCAATCCTAACAAGAAACTCTGTAATAAAAAGTAGGGCTAACCCCAACATCAGCCTCATTAAACCTCAGAGCTGTGTAAATTCTTTTTTTGTCTCTTAGAGCAGGGGTCTCCAACCTTGGCAACTTTAAGCCTGGAGGACTTCAACTCCCAGAATTCCCCAGCCAGCAGCTGGCTGGGGAATTCTGGGAGTTGAAGTCCTCCAGGCTTAAATTTGCCAAGGTTGGAGACTCCTGTCTTGGAGTTTCCAACTCTATTTTCTGAAAGTGTGTATGTAGTTTCCTCTGCCCATGAAGGCACAGATTCTTTGAAGCAGCAATAGCCCTAGATAACTCGATCTGTAGAGAAGCAGTTGGTTATTTTTGGGAGGGACATCTCTGCCCAAATTTTAAATGAACACCCCCTCCCCCCATTCCATCTGAGTCATAAGTTGGTAGTAATATATCAGCTTTGTTATCAGCACTGAATTCAGTTATTTCACTGAAACCTTAAGTCCTCTGTTCTATAAAACAAGGCTCTCCAACCTTAGTAACTTTAAGACTTGGGAACCTCAACTCCCAGAATTCCTCAGCCAGAAAAGCTGGCTGAGGAATTCTGGGAGTTGAGGTCTCCAAGTCTTGAAGTTGTTAAAGTTGGAAACCTCTGCTATAAAGGGCCCTGCCTACAGTAGATTCAAAGACTAGGAATTCCTAAATTGGGTTTTTTCAGCTTAGGCAACTTTAAGGTGCCTGGACTTCAATTCCCAGAATTCCCCAGCCTGCCTGCCCTAGGAAGGAGGCAATGGCAAACCACTTCTGAAGACCCCATCCAGAAAACTGCAGGGAATGTCCAGGCAATTTTTTAGAATTGGACATAATTAAGCAGGGAAAGAAGAGGAGAACCATAATAGGCAATTTATTTTGGCAGAAAAGTAGACAGTTGGCAATCTCTAAAAGCAGGAGGAAACCTTGAATGCTGGCTGTTGTTGCCAAGAGTTACTGCTTGTACCTGTTGAACAGTGGTGGCCCAATGGTTAGAATGCAGTATTGCTGGCGGACTCTGCTCACTCCCTGGAGTTTGATCCTCACCAGCTCAAGGTTGACTCAGCCTTCCACCCTTTTGAGGTCAGTAAAATGAGGACCCAGATTGCTGGGGGCAATAGGCTGACTCTGTAAATCGCTTAGAGAGGGCTGTATATGAAGCGGTATATAAGTCTTAAGTCTATTGCTATGTTCCATAGGGAGAGAAGAGGATAGACTGGGATAGACTGTGAACAAAGTCAGTGAAGAATCCAAGTTCAAAACAATTTTTTTAAAAAATGTTTAGATCCCACTATGATTTGTCATACATTGATACATCTGACCCATCCAAAGGGGATTATTCTCCTTAACCATATAACATCTCAATGAAATGCCTGTCATTGATTTACAGGATGAATTATTTGTTTCCACTTCGGGAAGAAAAAGATAATAACTTCCGAAGCCCAAGCATAGAAGGGAAGTGCAAAAATTACTTCTGCAAAGGGGACCCGAGATGTTTGCACCTGGTTCTCTGTAATTTTACTGTATTGTCTGGAAACTGGTGGCTTCCTTGAAGAAGATTGCTTCCTTACTCTGTATCTGCAACGCCATCAGGCGTGCACAAATATCCTGCTTAATGCTCCAATCCAGAGTTCACTTGAGTGGAAATGCGTAAAAAGTAATATTTCCTCTTAGGGATGGCAGTTTTCACTGAGGCCTACTTGCTGCTTACTTTGTGATTCTTGTAATCTGTCCAGGAGTGTGAAGTTAGGAACGTTCTGGAGCTGTGTGAGGGAAAAGAGAATTCAGAAAAATGGTCCCTCATTTCTTCCAACAAGAAGTCACCAAACTTCAGTCACTTCCTCACTCAGGGCAACCTCAAATATACCTGAATGGAGATGGCCGTTTCTGTATCCAATACTTAAAGGCAAAGGAAATGTGTTACAGCATTTCTTTCAAAGGGCTCCGATGTCTTTTTCATTTTACAGAGGAATAAATTAGAACCGGTTGAGTAAGAGAGCAAACGCCATTTTTACATTCCATATTTTACAAGTCTCCAACTTTCATAAAAGAGGAAATGCCCCAAGTCAAAACTGATTATGGGAGTCAGTGATTCAGTGAAATTAAATGCTTGGATACAAAACAAGATTCCTTTTGACAATAAGCTACAGTGAGGAGGATTTCAAAATATATATTTTCAACTTTTAAACTTAACTCGTTATAATGGGGTGCATATAATCATTTCTGGGATTTTCAGAAGGAGCTAGTTATAGTTTAATAAGCTGAACGTGAGCTGGTGTTGATTCAGGGCCCAGAATCATAAACTTGGCAATAATTTCATTGATATGTTCAGAAAGTAAAAATTCATGAGAAACTTTCAAGCGGACGTAAATTTGTTTTTTCCCCGAGTTTAACTTTGCTCAACTGGATCTCAGTGGTTTGAAAAACAAAAATCAGTTTGAAAATACGTCCTTTAAGATAAGCTCACTCTGAATTTTAGTATGGGGCTTTAGTGTAGCATGAGGCTTTAAAACTATGTTGGCCTGGGAAATATTTTGCGGTGCAACATATTTTACCATGGAAAGTCCATTCACTGTTGATCACTATGTTTTAAATTTATTCTACAAACCCTAGAAAATTGGGCAAAGGATATGAAATGTGTGATATGGAATAAAGTTTTCTGACATGTTTGTTGTGATTTGTTTTAAACATTTAGAAATGTTGATTTGTACTGCGTTTACCAGACATACCAATAGAAGCCATTTATGTTGCATTAAGCAAAAAGAATAGTGAGAGTGGCATAGATTGATAAGAGGAGAATATTTGTAGCTCAGGGTTGAAATGAGGGGTCCTTGGTGCTTTCTGAGTTTGGTTTTTTTTTTCTTGCAGGCATTTTATTACCAAACTAGGTAATGATGTTACCTTGTTTGTTAATGAAACTATTTTCAAGAAAATACCTAAGCTCAGTGTAGATTGCTTTGTGGTACCTTTTCTGATTTCCCTTCCCACGTTTCCTTGTAGGTTAATTTTCATGTTCTGATCTAAAGTTTCCCCACAAACTATTTTTCTCTCTTGTTGCCCTTAATTCTGATGATTTAATTCGGTAATATTAGTTTTTATGTAAAGTGCAGCTACAGTGTTGTATAAATGAATTTTAAAAGACAATGTATTTTCTCTAAACGATTCCACTCTGGTGTTCCTCTAGATTCAGAAGCAAGATATGTACAATGGTACTTAAATGTTTGTGAACCCTTCTGAATTTTCAGTATTTCCGCAGAAATAAAACATGATCTGTTCTCCAGACATGTCCTAAAACAAGATAAAGGGAACCCAAATAAACAAATGAACGAAAAATGTCTTAGTTGTTCATTTATATCGAGGAAAATGATCCTAAGCTACATACGTATTTGTGTGCGGCAATATGTGAACCTTTGCTTCTACTGGTAGTAACTGGTATGCCTACAGACACACACACACACACACACACACACACACACACACGGCCATCGGTAACTAAACATTTCTGATACCTATTGATCAATTCTGCACATCAACTTAGAAGAATTTTAGTCCACGATGACAAGGCAGCATTATATAGGAGATTTTCCAGGGCCATAGACATGACTGAGAAGTTATGAATTATCCCTGAAGAGACCAATTGCAAACCTCTTCATTTCTTTCCAAGAAAACTTGGAAGTCAACTTATTTTCCTAAGCACCAAAAGGCAAGGCAAGAAACGATGGATGGAAACTAAACGAGAGAAGCACACCTGGAATTATTGAGAAACTTGCTAACAGTGAGGACAATTAACCACTGGAACAGCTTGCCTTTAGAAGTTGTGGATGCTTCACTGGAGCTTTTTAAGAAGAAACTGGACAGCCACCTGTCTGAAATGGTATAGAATCTCCTGCTTGAGCAGCGAGAGTTGGACTAAGTGACCTCCAAAACCCTTTCTGGCTTGATTCTGATCAAAACAGCATGGGAATAAAATCACTGAATCAAACTTCTTTGAAGGAGGCCCGATTCCAGCAAGATAGATTGCTGTCTACCAGCACCCTGTAGTTACTAGGGGCCAAAGCCAATTCAAAGATACCTAATTAACTATCCAATAAACATATTAATGACAGAGACATGGAGGAATTATATATTTTTGTATTCCAATCTCTTTTAACTAGCACACTAGATGTCTTGGATTGGATCTCCTCACTAGAATGATCCCCTAAATGTGGTTCTCTATGGTTTCAGTCAAAGGCATTTCAATAAAGGAGAATATCTGTAACTCAGAGTTGAAATGAAGTCCTCGGTGCTCTCCGAGTTTGGTTGTTTTCTTGCAGATGTTTCATCACTCAAATTAGGTAACATCGTCAGTGGGAATCAGGACCAAGCTCAGAGAGCACCAAGGACCCCTCAAAGGCATTTCACAACATTTGTCTGAATCTATCAAGGGGGCAGAAAGGGTACTAATAAAATGTCCTCTTACAGGAAGCTGCAAAAAGTATGAGTCTTTCGCTCTAGTTGTATGGATTGGGGAATTGAGCCCCCAAACCTCTTACTTAGGCCAGACAACGTGTTTCCATTAATATCCCCCACACAGTTTCCCCAGAGCCACAGCGGAGAGCTGGCAGGGAGAAACAAGGAGGGAGGAGAAAGCCCTGAGGCTCTTAGGAGCCGAAAGTCACCCTGGACGGCTGAGGAATGCTTCGGTGGTCGCGAGGAGAGGAGAGTCTCCTCGACTGACCCGAAGAAAACCCCTCCATCCGAACTGAAAAGAGAACTGCCAGCATGGCTAAATCGAAGCCAGGAAGGCAGCTGAGACAGAAGTGAAAAAGAAAGGAAAGATCTTGTAACAGCGTGCTTAGTCTTGGTAAGAATCACTCCAATTTCTGCAGTGGAATTTTCCTTGGAAAGTGGGACTCAAAGGAGGAAAATAGCTGTGATTAACGATCTGGAGTGACTGTCAGATTTAGTTAAAAAATTAAAAAAAAGATATTGCAACTAGAAGTAACTTTAAAAGTAAAGGACAGATTGGATTGGTTAATCCAAATTTCTGGACTGTATTTTTACTACTACTCAACTTGAAGAACTTTTGGAAAACAATCTTATTCAGAGCCATTGACTGTAGTTAAAGTGTTTTAATTCAGCGAGTTTTGCTCTCTTTCAAAAATCCAGTGTGCTTTGAACATCTTGTTACCTCCTATTGTTTACAGAGTAATAGCAGCAGCAATCAGAGCAATAAATTCCTCCCACCCAGTAAATAAAAGCTGCTAGTAAAACAATTAGCCCTTTCCTTGCAGACTCTCAATACTACCTCATTACTTTAATCAAACACTAATTCATTACCTCAAAACTTACAACTACCTCATTACCTATATCAATGATTAATCAATTTCTATAAAATATTTCATTAATGGTTTAATTGATTTGTTTTAATTGATTAGTGTGATTAGTGTTTAGTGCAAATAGTGTGATTACTGATTAGTTTAAAAGATCAAGATTCATGTAATTTAATTGATTAGTAAAATTAGCGATTTAGTGAATTTAACTGAACAGTGTGATTAATGATTAGTGTAATTAATTGATTAGCGATTAGTGTAATTAATTGATTAGGCTGATTGTTGCTTAGGAAAATTATTTGACTAGAGAGATTATTGTAATTGATTGATTGGTGTGATATTGGCTATATTGATTACCCAAAATTGTTCCATTAATTAATTTAATCAACGTACCACCTTAATAAACCTACCCTGCCAAGAAAAAATCCAATGCCAAACCACAACCTAAAGAGAAAGTAATCCCCACCAATGAACCACAAGACTCCTGCACATGCCTTACATGCTACAAAACTAAAGAATAATGAAAACTCCATCAAATGTTCTCTATGTAACAAATACGCTCATCATGACTGCTTGGGATTACCCGAGCAAATGATTCAATACCTAGAATCATCCAATGAGTTTCCATATCTCTGCAAATCATGCAGACCCAAACTGGATCTGTTTGAAAGAGTTGATACCATAGAAACACGATAACATCCCTTGACACCATAGTAGCATCCCTGGACACCTTAAAAGAAAGATTATCCAACCTTGAAAAAAAAGACACAACGCAAAAACCTGAACATCCAATAGCTACAAACCACATCTCTACTCAACAACCACAATACAATCCACAACCCAATCCACAAAAAAAACATAAGCCAGACAAATAATGATATCCTAATCCTCATCAGAGAAGCTGATGAGCATGAACGGAAACGTCCAAATGCCATCTTATTTCGTCTAGAGGACATCAATGACAATGATGACATCACAACTGTCCAAAACATCATCAGTGGTTTTTAAGCATCAACCATCTCCCCTGATGAAACACTTGACATTGGCCAAGAGCTCAAAAACAGAGACGGCTCTGTGGCCCCACGCTTCTGCAGGGTCATTTGCAAAAATGAATCAAGCAAACGTAAATTCATTTATACTATAAATACACTTGCCAAAAGCAACACCCACCATAAGAACCTCCGTTCTTGCCCTGACCTAACCATACAGCAATGTGCCTGCTCCCATGTACTCCGCACTGAACTCAAAAAATGTCTAGACAACGAAGAGAAGGACCTGTACATTGACTACCATGCCGACTGCATCAAAAGTAAGTCACACAACCCGCAACTCAGCTTTAACCTTCAACCACAACCCTACCTCAACCAATCCACCATCACCCAAGACTAGGCACGCACGCCCGTAACTACCTCAATTCCAACTACTGCTGGCCTTAAATGCAAGCTACTCAATGCAAGAAGCCTTGTGAATAAAATACCTGAATTTCTTCTCTTACTAAATATGGCTAAATTCGACATCATATTTTGTCTGTGAAACATGGCTCAACGCATCTCTCCCTGACTCCATTACCACAGTAAGAGACTATCATGTTTACTGATCAGATCGTGAAATCCGTAGAGGAGGTGGTGTTGCTATCTTCTATAAAAAGTCCTTCCATCTAAAACACATCCAAGTTACCCAGGAGCTTGCTCTTCCTGAGACCATCATCTGTGAATTATCCTTAAATATCACATTTCGATTCTTACTATGTTACAGAGCACCTGATTATGACATCGAACATGTAAACAAGCTAAATTCACTACTAACATGGGCAACATCCTGCCCAAACACTTTTATCTTTCTTGGTGACTTCAATCTACCTCATATTGACTGGAACCTAAATGAACGTACAACTGAACCCATACACGCAACCTTCTACAATGCTGTTACAAATCTGGGACTGGAACAACTAGTAACCAACAATACTAGCCTAAAAAACTGCCTTGATCTCATCTTCTGCAATAGGCTGAATTTAATTTACGGAATAAAAACTAAAGAACACTTTTCCAACAGTGACCACAATATGATTGACTTTTGTCTCAACATACGCCCATACAAAAATCATCACAATGACGTAATCCCCAATTATAACTTCAAAAAAGGCAACTATGATCTTATAGGCAACGATCTCTCATCCCTTGATTGGCAATCTCTATTCACTGGATGCAATACTGTTGAAGACCATTACAACATATTTTTACTTGAAGTCAAAAGAGTCATCAAACTATATGTACCAACAACTCCTCCCAAAACAAAAACAAAAAAAAAACAGATTACCCATAACAATAAGGAAACTTCAATCCAAAAAGAGATCACTCTGGCAGAAAAACAAATCTGGTCACGTTGCCAATTTCAAAAGCCGATACAAAAATTTATGTCACCAGATAAAGACTGAATGTACCAATTATCACATTAAACAAGAGGAAAACCTTCTACGCACCAATTCCACCCGCGCTTTTTACAATTTTGTAAACAACAAACTAAAAGACTCAAGGTCCATCCCACCCCTGATAGGACCTAATGGTAAAGACTGGCAAAGCATAATCTTTGAAAAATATTTCAGGGCCAGCTCCTTGCCAAAACTATGGTCCCAAGCCACGGTCATCCCCATCTTCAAAAAGGGAGACCCCAGCCTAGTTGAAAATTACAGACCAATCTCCTTATTCTGCGTCACCTGTAAAGTCATGGAATCAATTATTAACCAATCCATTATCCTCCACTTAGAGACAAACAACCTACTCTCCAATAAACAATTTGGTTTCAGAAAAAAACTACCCTGTAATCTGCAACTCTTACACGCAAAAACATATGGACTACACAACTCAATCAGGGCAAAGCAATAGACTCAATCTACATAGACTTCTGTAAAGCCTTTGATTCAGTGGTACACGACAAACTACTCCTAAAACTAAAATCTTATGGTATCTCTGGACAACTGCATAACTGGACAGAAGCATTCTTGTCAAACAGACAACAAATGGTCAAAATTGGGAGCGTCCTATCAAATTCTGTACCTGTCAATAGTGGTGTCCCCCAAGGCAGTGTTCTAGGACCAACTCTCTTCATACTCTACATAAATGACCTCTGTGATCATATTAAGAGCAACCGCGTTCTTTTCGCTGATGATGTAAAGCTGTTCAATACCACAGACAATACTGCTACCCTTCAAAAAGATCTTGATTATGTATCAGAATGGTCAAACAAATGGCAACTTCAAATCTCAACAATTAAATGCTCTGTCCTACATATTGGCAGAAAATAAAATACAAGCTGAATAGTCAAGACCTTGTTGATGATCCAAACTCTGTAAAGGACCTTAGAATACTCATCTCTAATGATCTAATGATCTGTAACTACATAACCAAAAAGGCATTAAGAGTTGTTAACCTAATCCTACATAGCTTTTTCTCTGGTAATATCACACTACTAACTAGAGCATACAAAACATTTGCAAGACCAATACTTGAATACAACTCATCAGTCTGGAACCCACATTACGTATCTGATATTAACACAGTTGAGAAAGTCCAGAAATATTTCACAAGAAGAGTTCTCCACTCCTCTACTTGTTGTAGAATACCTTATGCCCCCAGACTTGAAATTCTTGACCTAGAAAACCTTGAATTATGCCGTCTTTGATCTGATCTAAGTATAAAATCATACATTGCAATGACTTGCCTGTCAATGAATACTTCAGCTTCAACCATAACACAAGAGCACACAATAGATACAAACTCAAGTTTAACCGCACCAAACTTGATTGCAGGAAATACGACTTCAGCAACAGAGTGGTCAATGTCTGGAATACTGTACCTGACTCTGTGGTTTCTTCCCCAAACCCCAAAAACTTTAACCTTAGGCTGTCTACTATTGACCTCACCCCTTTCCTAAGAAGTCTGTAGGGGGCGTGCATAAGCGCACCAACGTGCCTACCATCCCTGTCCTATTGTTTCTTTTATTTTTCTTATATGTACCCATTTCATGTATTCATAACTATGTATATACTTATACCTATTATCTTGTAAGCAACTGACAAATCAAATCAAATCAATCAATCAATCAATAAATAAATGCTTCATTTTGTTCTCCATTCCCCATCACGCCCTAATGCTAATCATCACGGCTCCTTAAATATTTCTTGGCGATAAAAATTTTCTAAACTGTTGTGCATGATGATTCCAAAATGATCAACTTGGGGTGAGCAGCCGTGTCGAGCCACTCAGAATGAAGCACTGAAACATCTTGATATTAAGTAACAATTTTATTATAGTCATACTACGTACACAGTTACACTAGGATTACCACAGTATCACTCCCAAGTAATTTCTCACATATTACACTACGTGGCCTATCATCCTGCAGGGTATTCCATGCAAAGCTACTCTGCTAAAACGAACATAACCCCACCATGCAGGAACAAATAATAGGACTTTAGTCTATCTAGGTCAATCCTGCCAATTGCTGGCACAGCCTGTCCATTGTAAGCCAAGATTCACTTTAGGTACCTACAGCCTTAAGACTTTTTAAACAATGTACAGAAATAGAGTCAAATCTGTTTCCCCATGCAAAACTGTTTACAGTTGCTTCCATTTTATATTACATGCAAGAGGAAATGCAGACATTGGGTATTTTCCTTTGTTATTTTCTGTTTTTAATTAATATCACCTCTGAATGCTGTACAACTAGCAGAGTTGGTTTTAATCCTTTCGTAAGATTTCCATCCAATTCTTATAAAATCAACCGTTTTGAAAGGACTATGAAGAGCCACGAGTAACTCTTTTTTTCCATAATTCTTTCTTGAAATTTCATAATTCTTTGAAATCTCTGGTTACTGGCAGCCTTGATAACAGCTCAGGGTTTGTTTGTTTGTTTTTTCAATTCTTTGTCAATAATTTCCCACTTGCTCCTGATAATTGTTACTTGTGAGTATCCCTCCTTATGCTGCATTGCAACCAAGACATAATCTACAATTTGTTCTTGTGGTTATTTCTGCATAGATATGGAGGTAGGTATGATTTTGTATCATTCATCTTTAGTTTTGCACCGGTTACAGTTTTCGATATTGTTTCTCTGAGAAGCAATGCAGAAGAAAAAGAGGATGCCTGGTTTGAGAAGAAATGCTGAACCTGAGATAACTAATATCTGTACTTTTTGGTTTGCAATTCTTCTGCTAAGTTTTCCATGTTTTGTCCTTGAACTTGCAATAACATGAATTATCTATCATTTGCTGCCTCCTTAGAATGGCAGCCTCCAAGAAAATGGGATATAAATGGATAATAAATGGATGATTTTGAAGTCTCGTTAAATAATCCACAGCACCCATCATCTGCATAGGTGCATCAGAATTATTCCTCTATTGGAATTCAGTCTTTGGGGTGAAAGGGTAAAAAAATTGCACCCAAACAGAGCCTGAGAAAGTTGGACAAAAATCTTCCGAGTGCAGAAAGGTGATATTTAAGGCGGTCTTAACACGATGCTTTGAGAAACACACTGAAGTATCTTTTCCAGAAACGGATGGACAATTCTCCGGTTTTTAAAAAGCTTTTTTTCAGCACTAAAGGATCTAGATAGTCGAAGGATTTACCCGAGAATCCTGTTCCTGTTTCTAGGCCCTGTGACACCTTCTTTGTATGAATGATTGTAATAAAAGAGGAATCACTTCATTAGACAGTATTTATATGAAATATGAGTATGAAATATGAAATATTTATATGAGTTTTTGTTCTTATCTTTAAAACATTTGATCGTCTTGGAATAGACGAAAACGTAGTAATGGAGCCTTCCTTTTATTATAGAAGGTACATTGGAGTGTAAGGGACCATCTTAAATTTGGAATCATAGACTGGTTGGCCACAAGGGATGATAATACAGAACTGAACTTGAAAATGTTAAGCCGGGTTGCAGTTGGTTAGTTGCTCCTGTAAGTCTGCCCCCATCCCCAAAATCACATGGTTGTATACTTGATCTAGATGTTGGAAAAACATCTGAAGATGACACAAGTAAACTTCTTCCATCTTGTTGTAAAGAAAACTGCATTGGTGAATTTATTAGGGATTACGGAGACTTTGATATATTTCATTAAGGTAAAGACAATATTTTGCTGGTGTAGAAGTTGGTCTCCACAAACGTGGATAGTTGGTCTCCATAAGCAGTTGAAATAACCATTTTTTTCTAGGTTTTCTTGTAAAAATCAACCTACCTTGTAGAAAAGTACAAAGTCTTTCTTCTTAAAGAGGGGAGAGATATCCAAAGTTTGTATTTTTTTATTTCTATATAGGCTAATCTCTACATGTCTTGGTCCAAAAGCTTCAAACATTTTCCCACCAGTTCTAGTTGCTTAATAGTTTGGTTTTTGTGTATATAACAGTGAAGTACAGCCACAAAGTAATAAAACCAGGCAGGCAATCTCAAAATAAGATGCATTTCTTTTTTTTTTTTCATTCTATACCACTATCCTGCAGCTATTAACTTTTAAGATAGTTCTATAACTGGTGGTATTAACAGAATACAGGCATACATGAATACATGTATATTCCACGTCGCATAGAAATGGTGGAATTTCAAAGGTTGTTGAAAGTACCACATCCAGCTCCTGACAACAACATGCTTTATGAGAGGGATAATAGGTGTTCATTTACTTGTAGATAGTCACCAGTTCTCCATCCTTGAACTGTGCAATCTCATGGAAGATAGGCACAAGTGAGAGGTGTTAACTGACCCTTTATCCACAGAGCTACTTGCAAAGAAACTTGTTCGCATCCATAGTTTTTTTCAAAGTGGTATATAATACTTGACTTACTTACATGATGGGTATTTGTAATGCCACTATTATGTTGTCCACTGCTGTGTTAATTGTTGTTCATTTGTTATCTGTACACTCCGTTATGGCTGAAGATACTGAATAATAGGGAATCGATGTCTACATATCTATGAAACCAATCTGAAATATTCTCCTTATTTTACTTCTTTTCTTTCAAATTCAGTACTTCAGCCTTTCCTCCCTAATGAGAATTGACATTGTTCACCCCATCAGTGTACCTCTAGGCATAATATTCATGTAAACTGTAGACATGTAAACATAGACAGCTCAATTATTTTCAAACAATTATTCACCTTTCTGTCCCAAGTCCTTGTAAACTCAGTGGGAAGGCAATTATGTGGCGTAATAGAGGTGGCTTTATGCCTCAACTGTTCGAAATAGCTCTCAGCACCTATCAACCACAGGCTGAATCCATCAGCAAGAAGAATCCAGAAGTCTTTGGCGAATCTTGCCATCTTTACTTGTACCTTCAGTATCATCAGGCAATTTTGGCTCAGTCAGATCTGTGGAAAGGTCAGAAAGAGACTTGTTATATCTTTTTAATTAAAGCACTTGCACAGAGTATTTTATTTCAGAACTCTATTAGCACATCTAAAGAGAATTAAGTCTAGGCTGAGATGTAATAACTAATCCTGGAATATGTATGACTCGAGAAAGGAAGAGGATGGGTGATTAAGACCAATATCAAAGCTGTTTTTTTTAAAATGCCAGACGTTTGAACAGATAAATCTAGATTATAGTGATATAAATCAGAATCATATCTTTAAGTTGTGTAGGCAGGCTGCCTGGAGAATTGTGGGAGTTGAAGTCCACCTATCTAAAAGTTGCCAAGTTTGAAAGACACCAATGTCAATCAATGGATCTCAATTCATTCAATTAAGATCCATTGATTTCAGGGGATCTATTAGAAGTATTGCTATGCCTGAACCCATAGAGTTGCTTTTAAACTCAGCTGCGTTTGCTTTCACAAATGTGCGAAATTTTATTTAGAAGTTTTATACATATATCATTTGTGCTTCTCCCAAGTCCACTGTATTCAATATGAATGAATGGTTAAGACTGTTTAAAAAAATAGTACCTCTTTTTAAATACCAGCTAGTTTTTTTAATGAAAAAAACCAGATTGGGAACCTGACATGAGAACTAATCGGGAAAAGCTTATAATCATCATATATGTGTTTTAATAAATAATCAGAAAGGTCTAGTTATGATTACAGACTTAAATTAGATTTATCAATATGAAAATAACAGAATTGTTTTGATATTAAAAAGTGATCTAATGAGTATAAAAATACAACATATTTTTAAGCAAAATAAGCCATTTTTATTTTCCATTGTCTTGGTATTACATGAAAAGATAGCCTATGTTTGCTATTATAGGTAGTAAATGAAATATTATGTATCTGAAATCAGTATATTAGTGGATGCTATTTGTAGGGATTTGTCTCTTCTCTCTTTTATCTACTTGTTTATCTATTTTTCTGTCTGCCTGTGTGCCTGCTACCTGCCTATAATATTCTAATGCATCATTCAAATCAAAACATGTCCTCATTAAACTTTAAGATTGGTTGGTTAATACAACTGAGATTATTAAAACAATGCCTAGGAAATGTTATTATTACTAATGTCTCTATGCCCCTTCAATCATGTGAGCGAACACAGCTACGTGTTTGATCCAAAGCTTTAAATCCCAAACATTCCCATAAACAATATTAAAAAATAAATAATTCCTCTGCAAATCTGCTATGACACAATGCTGTTTTTGCATTGTTGAAATTGTTCTATTCCCAGTATAATATTTTAACATTTGCAAACGTGTAATAGAGCAACAGCAAATTACAACCTACTTCAGTGGCAGCAAACCTTTTGGTTTCAGCATGCAAAATTTTGGAAAATACCTAATTAGACACTGCTGGCATCTCATCTCCACCTCTCCCCAGACCCCAAACAAGAGAGAAATCATTCTCTATCTAACTCAGAGGTCTCCAAACTTGGCAACTTTTAAGACTTGTGGACTTCGACTCCCAGAATTTTCTATAATGGCTGGATAATTCTGTCAGCTATGCTGGCTGGAGAATTCTGGGAGTTGAAGTCCACAAGTCTTAAAGTTGCCAAGTTTGGGGACCCTTGATTTAAGTCCTCTCCCAAATCTAGGCTACCCTGAACAGCCACACTTGGTGTCAGATGTTGTTAATTGCTAGGGTGCCAGCAAAATGTCAACTTGGGTCATAAGTACGCCATGACTGACCTACCTAAACGAAAAAAAAAAAAAAGCAGAGGGAAATAAATGTTACCTTTCAATTCTGCTGCATCATTGGACATTTCCGCTTCCGCTTTTTTCCTCTTCTCCTTGTGGGTGGTGTTTGGCTTGGAATCCATGGCGTCCATTTTAATTGAGCCAAGGTTCCTCAGGAGCTGCATGGCATCAAACCTCTCCCCGCTGCCTTTGAGGCTCTCCAGAACTTTGAGGCACTTGTAAGATTTCAGCTCGCTCACATTTTCCTCCAGGAAAAGCAGGTAGAGGCTCATGTCGTTGTAGTGTTTCGCTTTGACTTTGAGAACATCAAATGTCGGCAGAAGCTCGTAGACCTGAAGGATGTCCGAGCTCTGCCTGAGAGGAACGAAGAAGGCATAAATCACCAGCGGTGTGATCAGCACATACACGATGAAATTGATGTAACTCAGCAGCTGAAAGACACCAACGGCAACCATTTTGCACTGAAATACTCCTGGAATGTTCGTGTCATTTTTCAGTATCCCAGTTTTGATGTTGCAAATGAACTCATCGGTCAGGGAGGAAAGGCTGATATAATAACCCAGGAAGAGGCAAGCAAAGAGGATAATGATCAAAGTTAGCAAACGGCAAATAATGTATTTGATGATTAAGTTCTTGGAGCTCTTCTTTGTCTTCAGATACTGTTCCACAATAGGGTATTTAAAGTGGCTGTCGGAGATCTCCCATAAACTGGAAAACAAAACAAAACAAAAGCCAATTTCCAGGAGTGTTATATCAGGATATCACTTGCTTTAGAAATTACTTACTACCCAATGCCTCAATATTCCCAGGTACCTGTTTTCTTTTCCCTTCTGTTTCAATGTATTTTTCAACATTTGAAAATATATTAAAGTTGGGAATAATTAGCATTTCTCCAAACTTTAAGGTAAAGGTAATGACTTGCACATGCATGCTAATCATTTCCAGCTCTAGGGGGCGCTGCTCATCTCCGTTACAAAGCCGAGGAGCCAGCACAGTCCGAAGACGTCTCCATGGTCATGTGGTCGGCATGACTAAATGCCGAAGGCGTATGGAACGGTGTTACCTTCCCACCAAAGGGGTCCCTATTTTTCTACTTGCATTTTCACATGTTTTCGAACTGCTAGGTTGGCAGAAGCTGGGACAGGTAACGAGAGCTCACTCTGTTACGTGGCGCTAGGGATTCGAACCACTGAACTGCTGACCTTTCTGATTGACAAACTCAGCGTCTTAGCTGCTGAGCACTGCGTCCATCTCCAAAATTTAAACATGATTAAAACAATACAGGTAGGCCTCGACATATGACCACCATAGAGCCGGCCCATTATGGTTGCATGCTGCAACAGTTATAAAATGGGTCGGTCATGGAACCAACCTGATTTTATGTCCTTTTTACAATAGTGACAAAAATGAATATGGCAGTTGTTAAATGAATGCTGTGGCAGTTAAGTGAACCTACTGTTTACTATGGCATGGTTTTGCACACCACAATACAAAAGAGATGCTGAGATTCTGGAAAGAGTGCAGAGAAGAGCAACAAAAATGATTAGGGGACTGGAGGCTAAAACATATAAAGAACGGTTGCTGGAACTGGGTATGTCTAGGCCAGGGGTGTCAAACTGGATTTCTTTGAGAACCAGATCAGCACCGTAGTTCTCCTCCATGGGCCGGTGGGTGGGTGGGAGACAGGACGGACGCCTCCTGAAGCACTTTTCTGGCCAAAATGGGGCGTGGTGGGGGTGCACACACACCCCGCGCCCCATTTTGGCTGCCGAGGCGCCACAGGCCAGTCCTTTGCTATTTCCAGGCCGGCCCCGCGGACCAGATTTAAGCACCCCGTGGGCCGGATTTGGCCTGCGGGCCTTGAGTTTGACACCCCTGGTCTAGTCTAATGGAAATAAGGAATATATTAGATTAGATTACAATTCTTTTATTCACCAAGTGTGATTGGACACACAAGGAATTTGTCTTGGTGCAAATGCTCTCAGTATACATAAAAGAAAAGATACATTCGTCAAGAATCAAGAATCATAAGGTACGACACTTAATGATAGTCATAGGGTACAATAAGCAGTCAAATCATATTAGGAAACAGTCAATATAAATTGTAAGGATATACAAGCAACAAGGTTACAGTCATACAGTCACAAGTGGGAGGGGATGGGTGATAAGGAGTAATGAGAAGATTAACAGTAATAGTAGTGCAGACTTTGTAAATAGTTGGACAGTGTTGAGGGAATTATTTGTTTAGCAGAGTGATGGCAGAGTTCCAATACTTGAGGGGTTCCTACAGAGATGAAGAGGTCAACTTATTTTTCAAAGCACCAGAAGGCAACACCAGAAGCAATGCTTGGAAACTAACCAAGGAGAGAAGCAACTCAGGAGAAATGTCCTAACGGTGAGAGCAATTAACCAACAGAATAACTTGCCTTCAGAAGTTGTGGGTGCTCCATCACTGAAGGCTTTCAAAAAGAGGCTGGACAACCATTTGTTTGAAATTATACAGGGCCTCCTGCTCAAGCAAGGGGTTGGACTAGAAGGCCTCTGAGGTCCCTCCCAACTCTCAATTCTAGATTCGATAGAGATCTTGTGACTGTGGGATGCTACAAACTATTGTAAATGTGACTGTTTTGCCGAGTGTCCCAAAAGTAATCATGTGATTGTGGGTGGTTTCCCAACTAACTCCCCTGTTTCAAATAGGTCGTAACTTTGACCCTAACCCTAACCCTATCAATAATTTAATGTAAAAGAAAGTAATCAGAAGAATGCTTCTATACTCACAAAGTTTGATAACTATTGAGTAGGTAGGCCTCGACTTACAACAGTTCATTTAGCGACTGTTGAAAATTACATCGGCACTGAAAAAAGTGACTTATCACCATTTTTCACATTTCTGACTATTGCAGCAACCCCAGGGTCACATTATTCAGACACTTGGCAACTGGCATGTACTTATGACGGTTGGAGTGTCCCAGGGTCATGTGGCCAACTTATGCGGCCTTCTGACAAAACAAAGTCAATGGGGAAGCCACATTCACTCTGTGGGCGCTCAATTGTGGCCATAAGTCGAGGACTACCTGTATAGTACAGGACTGGTTTCAAATCAAAAGACACAGCAGTGTCAGTTTAATTGAACCTCCGGATAAACAAACGTGTGTGTGAATCTGCCATGGCACACCCCAACAGAGCTTCATGCCATCTGAAATTCCTGCTCATTATGATGGCTTACACTTTTATAAGAGAATGTTTCTAATGAGAACTACTCAGAAATAGTTAGCATTCTGCTGTCAGCTGCCTTGGATTTAATTTCATTAAGTGACTAACACTAAGCACTCCGTCTTATCCTCACCTGTGGACACCCTCCAAATGAATAGGGAGGGGTGTTTTGAAAGGGAAGATTAAACATGAATATTCATAAAACGCACAATGAACAGCCATTGCTGTTCATTGCAATTGGGGAGTTAACTGAAGTAAATGCACAGACATCACACCGAGGCAGGATTTCTTCTCCTTGGCAAGCTTAAGAGGGTTGGATTTGAGCTCCAACCCAGCCATGTTGAAGTTCACCTATCTAAAAAGATTAGACTTAAACATAGTACATAAAATCATATGTTACAACATCTTACTAGTTAATGAATATTTCAGCTTGAACCACAACAACATAAGAGCACATAACAGATATAAACTAAATGTAAACCACTCCAAACTTGATAGCAGGAAGTACGATTTCAGCAACAGAGTGGTCAATGTCTGGAACTCACTACCTGATTCTGTTGTCACATGCTCAAACCCCCACTTCTTTTCCCTCAAACTAACCTCTATTGACCTCACCCCGTTCCTAAGGGGCCTGTAAGGGGTGTGCATAAGCGCACAATCGTGCCTACCGTCCCTGTCCTATTGTTCCCAATTATTAGTTCCTATTAGTTCCTAAGCTTATGTTTATTCTTGTTTCTGTTGTATTGTAAGATTTTGACAAATAAACAAACCAATAAATAAATAAAAACTTGCCAAGGTTGAGAACCACTGCTCTAAATTTTCTATTTCATATCTAAAGTAACACGTGTCAACTCTCAAAACGACTCTAGCTGAAGTCATGTTTTTCTTGCTTCGTTTCTTAGTTGCCACACTTAGGGGGACTTATGGAATTTGGAATGTTTTCCTCCAATGTGCCAGACATAACAACAATAAGGCTCCTGAGAACCAAGGTCAACTGAATGTGCCCTAGCAATGGCAGAAGGGAGTGCTGAGAAGTTCATCACCTGCATGGTTGGTTAACATGACCGGTGAGACGAGAGGGGTGGACAGTTTAATTATATCAAAAATGTGGGAATTATTCAGGGTTGGTGTCACCTTTGACTGTGTTGATATGTTGTATCCAATAAACCGAATTTTGAGGAAGCCAAGGCCTCAGAATTGGTTGGGAGCATTGCTCAGAACCATGACATTAAACCAACACTGAATCATTCTGTGTTTTTGGTATAATTAACATGACAACATGCTGACTCCAATTCCAAAATCTAAGAACTTATGTCCACTTCCTTTGTAGGGCAGAGGGGTAGTTTATTGTGGCCAAAATGTTGCACTTCCTTAAAAGGGGAGTGTGGTAGATTTTGTTTGTTTGTTTGGACAACTACCAGTGGCAAAGCTTTTGACAGCACCACAGTGGGTGGGTGGGCTTAGCATTGCGTTGGGACAACACAATTATAGGGCTTAAAGTAGCAATCAAAGAACTTGAAGCCATAGGATAAATTTGTTTGATTCAGGAGAAGAGGCCAGTGGGAATAACCGGTACTAAAACCCTTCGTAAGACTCAAGGCATTCGTTTTCTCCTTGAAATCCCTAAAAGTCAACCAACAAAGTTTTAAAAAGATGACCACGTGAGATTTATAAAAAAAAATCTGAAAAAAGATGCTTCAACTGAAGTCCCACAGAGGATGTCACCTAGGCTGGTGATGAAAACATTTGGAAGCTAAAGTGCAACCCTGGAGAAGAAACTACCATCAGCACTGAAAACTTTGACTCACCCTCTCCTGGCTGTCCTGAGAGGGATATACTATATAAAGGGATGTCCCTCTCTCCCCATTTCCCATCTTTATGACAGGACAACGTGGTCTTTGAGGTGGTGGCACACAGGAGATGTGCCACCAAAGATAGCTACGATAGAGTCAGACACAAACCTTCTAGATCTGTGTTTCCCAACCTTAGCTGTTTTAAGATGTGTGGACTTCAACTCCCAGAATATCCCAGCAAACACTATTCTAGTTGATGCAGGATGTCCAATTTTATCCATTCCTTCCAAAAAAAATCTTATGTGATGACCTGGGGCGTGACACAAAAATAACCAGGCACAAAAATAGAAGTAAGTTTCTTTAATGCCTCCAACTTGGCCCCAGTGTCCAATTATCCTCAGGTGGAAATCAAACTCTTAAAGAAAACAGTTTACGGAGGGAGTAAATGCAGTCCACACCCAAAGTAAAGTTAATTCGAAATTAAAAAAACCAACACAAACCACACTGAAGGAATTACTACGTCAGGCAAAGATGATTAATTGCAGACTTCTACCAGATAACGCAGCAACTACAGTTGAGAGGAAGCCAAAGCACAAATAAGCTCTGACAAGAATAATGTACACTTTGCTTCAAGCAGCCTTGCCATGTGCAGTTTGTCCTTTTAACCAGTCCTCACAACTGCAGCCCATGAAGGGGGATCAGGGCCCATTCCTCCCCCATAGACCAACGCCATCACATTTCTCCCTTATCCATTCCTCCCTGCGTGCCCTAGGATAAAGAGGGGATGGGCCTGGGTCTTCCTCTGAATGCCCAGCCGGCCTCTGCCCTTCCCCAGTTTCCTCCACAACCTCCAGAGCCACACTCCCACTCCCTGTCGGCTGTTCCTCCTCTCCCTTAGAGTCTGACTCTAACAAGGGCACGACATCTTACTTCCCTTGTCGGGCAAGTTGGAAGGCCTACTCAGCTCCTTCACTATACTTGAAAGCAAACATTCAACCAGGCTGTGCGATGATAAGCTTGAGTGCCAGCAGAGGAGAACACGGTGGGAGAAGGTAAATCTGAAGAAAACTGGAAATGCAGATGGAGAGGTTACCTCTGTGCAATATTTTCAATGGCAGGTGGGGAGCTGGCTGCATCTCTGGCATCGCAGTTCCGGAAACTGTTGGCGGCTTTGATGGCTCTGTTATAAGCCTTGTCAAGTTCTTCCAAGATAAACTTCAGATCCGAAGAAAGGTGAGGCGCTGCAGTGAAACGCCAAAAGATCCATGGCAGGTACAGCAGGATGGCAAGCAGCAGAAGGATGTACGGGAAAAACTGAATTAGAAAGTCAGGAGAAAGAACCTTCAACCAGGTTGATGACAAACCAAGTCATTTTAGTTAGTTAGTTTACTTTATTGTCATTGCACCTCGTACAACGAAATCAAACATCCATCTTCAGTGCACATCATGACCATGAAATAAACACAAACACACATCCTTCACCCTTCACACATTAAACAAAAAAACCCCGACACCACACCAATACTGCACTATACAGTATATATATTCAATATAGTTACTGCCCTGGGATAGAAGCTGATTTTTCAGCCTATTTGTCCTTGTTTTTATTATTCTGCACCGTCTGCCAGATGGTAATAGTTCAAAAAAAGGGTGCCCAGGATGAGATGGATCTTTGAGAATGTTTTGAACTTTCTTAAGGCAGCAGAGGGGAGAAGGCAACCCATAATCTTCTGGGCAATGACGTTAACCCTCTGGAGTGCTTTCCTATCTGCCACTGTGCAACTGGCAAACCATACAGAAGTGCAGTAAGTTAAGATACTCTCTATGGTGCAGCAGTAGAAGGTCACCAGCAGTTTTTCATTCAGTTGTTGTTTTCTGAGAAGTCTCAGGTAGTATAATCTTATTGAGGCCATTCACCAGTGGATTAGACAAGAAACTCCAAATGTTCTGACATCTTACAGGTGGGAATGTATGCACAGACTATGATTTGGGGTAGACATCCTGGCTAAAAATTCTGGGTTTTGCAGTCCTATAAGTTAAACAATGGCAATTTATGGGATTACAGGGAGTCACCGATTTAC